TCTCGTTGCGTGCGTTTAAACTTGGCCTGAAGCAGATTCCATCGGTCTCTGACTCCCCTCTTCTCCTCTATCATAAATTTTGGATTATCAAGCTTGTTCAATCTTTCCTGGATTGACTCCCAGATTTTGCCACGGTCTGGACTGCCTTTCTTGCACTGAAAAAATTCGGTAGCAATCATTTCACGCAACAGGAGAATGTCATGGTCATCTGTCCATTCCATTACAGGTTGTTTTTTGGTAGCCATCTTCACGCTATAGAGCCTAAAAAGTTAAAAAAAACAGACCTGTAATACACGACAATCGCTCCTACAATCGCCAAAACGACAGAATAAAATTTTACGTATCACTAAGTGCAAAACATCGCAGGCAAAATGATATAAAAGCACGAAAATCATAAAAGCAAAACTCACGTTTTACAGGCGACGTCAAAATAAGCAAAACAAAGTCGGCGCAGAGTCGCGACGGCCGACTCTGTCGGCGGGAAACGTGGATCGGAAGTAAATTTGACTTCCGGTTGCCGTCGCCCCGTAGAAAACGTCTGGTGCTTAAGTTCCCTAATAAACAGCCCTGTGTAATGTTACATTGCTGTTTACACGAGTCCGTACAAATTTTTGCCATTGTCAGCATTGGAATGGCTTTTCTTTTATCACAGGCGCGTAAATAGGCTCCACGCGTTTACCGCGCAAATTGTGCGCGGTTCGGGTGTTTACACGTGTCCGCGTAGAGGTGGAACCGTACCGGTCAAAAACTCGCATGGATCCTTGCAAGTGGTGTTTAAGAGTGTTGAAAGTGGAAGGTTACACGCGAGTGAGCCGCGAAGGATTGTCCTTGACCCTCGTTTTGAGTTTAGTTTCCTTTCCCCTCCCGAGATGGGGAAAATTGTTCCTTTTAGGTTACAGTTCGAAAACCGGCCAAGTGAAAAGATCGTGAGTAAATAACCAGGTAAATAAAAGGATATGATCTGGGTATTGCTGGTGTAGTTTCTTCAGCTCTGCACGGAATTTTGCTTCTGTCGGGCTTGCGGCAGACAGATCAGCACCTGTCAATTCAGGGGGGGAAAAATGCCAGTTTAGTTTCTGGAAAACCTTACATCACAGTACAGTAAATATATTACAATATAACCAACATCGCCTTCTCTGGGCCGTATTTGTGCAATGTACACCCATAAATGAACTTACCGTAAGAGGCTGTAAGTTCTTGAACTGAAAAGCCATCTTCCTCGCCACCACAATGTTTTTTAGTACCAAGAATTCTTTCTGATTGTGAACGAGGCAGCTTGCATTTGCTGGCATCTGGATCCTCTGATCTGAGCTGCTGTTGACTCGGCCTCCGCCTTATAAGGCGCCCTACAGCACCTGTCAAAGATAACACAACATGTGTCACGCAATCCGCAAACTGGAATTTCCTTGAATTAAAATCTGCGAGGGACCGGGAACGAGTGGAGAATGTAAACAGACATTCTTCAAGGAATCTCACGGTAAGTGTCCCATTTTTAATCTTCAACGATTTTTTTTCTTTAGAACTTGGACTGTATGCGTGTGTTTGACTAGCAGTGCAAGATGTAGCAGTATCATATCACTCTATTTGTGGCATATTTAAAGTTCTCCACTTACTTTCTCCTTCATCAAGGCCACGGCTTTTCTCTGCGCAGATTCTCTTTACTGATGGTGGTTTTTGAATTTCATCTAAAGGGAAAAAGGATAGATTGAAATCAAACCAAACAGTTCAATACTTAAGTACTTTATGGTACAGAAACTTCTTTCTTCTTTGTGAGGAAATTACACTACTTCTCGGGACTTGCACTTTACAATTTTACTAAGGAGTGGCAAATTCCATGAACTACATAAAATTTTAAGGCGTATCGGAGAAGGTGCAGATGCAGACATCCTTTTGGCACATCACACAATCATGAATCCTTCCAAACACTGGAGAGGATCGTGGGATGAGCCAAAAGGATGTCTGAATATGAAGCCATGAGGGGGCAGGTGGGGCTGGCCTGGGTGCCCGGGTGATTTTTTTGTAGGCTTGGATGGTTCCTCTAGACCTTTCTCCTTGGGCAGGCCCTCCAGCTTGAGGTACCACTAGTAACAGTACCTTGTGGACCCCCATACCCACAATTTTATTCCTATGGCCATGGTGCAACAAAAGTGCTCTCCAGTATCCTGTACAGGCTAGTAACTTGCCTGAAGGGCAAGTGTTTTGTAAATTTTCATCTTCGATGTCGACTGATGGTACAAATGTACATGTCATTACAAAAGAACAAACTTAAAGACCCATGGCATCACATTACCTTAATCTCTCTGCAAGTTTAAACAAGTGGAAAATGTTGGTTGCTCACTTAGGTTTCAACTGTAGTGCCTTAACTGAGAACTTTTTTATTTCTGGTTTTGAAGTTTAACAGCGAAGCTATGGCAAAAGGAACAGATTTTTTATGCGTGGTATACTTACCTTGGGTATAGGCCACTAGTTCTAACTTGTCAGGGTCAATTCCTATCCATCTAAAACCAGGTTTCCTTCCAGTCTGAATGCTATGAATATGAACTTTTTCTATAAGCTGGAGACTTGACAAAATGTTGGCAATATCATAGAGTCGTCGAACTTTAGCTGTTGAGGAAAAAAGTTTTGTCATGAACATGTTTAGGGTTCTCCTTAAGTGATGCAACCGGGGTAAATAGATAGTTCCAAATTGTCACTAATAGTTTTTTGCATACTCTAAGTAGCATAGTATGTACTGCAAACAAAGATGTCAGATCATCCATCTAGTGGTTGCCCACGAGAGGTTAAAAAAAATGGAAAATTTTAAAACCATCACCCCAAAGAGTAGTTGCTGTTGCTTACAAAAGGTTCCAACTATGAGGCTTTGACTGGGAATATTTTGGTGTTTTGGATAGATGGTTGCTATGAGTGATGGATGTTCACAAGAGGTGGCTGCACATGGAGGTTTGTCTTTATTTGATTTAAGGTGAGTAATGGTTAAAAACGTAGATTTACAAACAAAGTCGAAACTGATTTGGCTGTGTAAATTATCTTACTTTTATACTTTGTCTGGCCTTCTTCTTCATCTCCTATCAAGACATTGGCTGCATCCTCCAAAGTTACATATCGATTCTGATTGAGCAAAAGTGACAATTCTGTTTAACCTTTGTGTATCATTAATTTTTTTTTGTCATTGTAAACATCTCTTGTTATTAGTATAGGTAACAGCATGATTTGCAGCGATATTTGGTATTATTATACATTGTAGTCACCATCTGTCTTCTCATTGGCTAAAAGCCTACAGTTAATTCTGGGAAACAGCGCAACCTACAGATTATTCACTAATCTGTACCTACAGATTAGTGAATAATCTGTAGGTTCTCTTGTGCACTAATGCATGATTTTCAAGAGCAATGTCAAGTGCACGGACAGCAATGTCAAGTTCGCGGACAGCAGTAAGAATCGACCCACCAAGAAATTGAGAAATTACTTGAAGATAAAGTATAATAAAACAATTATTAGATTCGGTTTTGTGATATCAGGAATAATCAAGGTCTCGGTTAGTGTTATCAGCCTCATAAGAATGATAACATTCTCGATCTTGATTATTCGGATATCACAAAAACCTCATCAATAATTGTTTATCGACTATGTTTCCACCAAGAAACATACAAACAATATACCAGTACCCCAAAAAGGTTTGTAATTTTCACATGTAGGTATTTCAAATTAAGCTGAAATACCACTGCTCTAAGCCAATCAAATGGCAGAAATTTATCATGTAGTAGTATAACAAAATAATGAAATATTACGTGGTTAATAACAACATTTATTATATAAAAACCAATGAAATACCAGGTGAGCTTTTGCGCGAAAACTTGATATCTTCACATGTGAAAATATCACCTTTGCTATGGCTACGTAATAATTCGCACCTTTCACACCAAAAAACTATTAAAGCGAAATGGTTTAGTATTTCATTGGTGTTTATATAATAAATAGAACATTACATGGCTGCTTGGAGATGCAAAATTTCTCTCCGCGTGTTGAAAAAATAGACAAATTTCATATCTCCGTGCGGCCATGTAATATCCTCTATGTGAGCTTGACTTTACCTCAGAAACAAGAAACATCATTAAGAATTTTTGACTGAGGACTCCTAGGGACTTGTCTTTTCTGCAGTACTCACTTATGTTTTCTGTCCAGAAATAATAAAAACACAGTAAAAAAGAAGTTTAGTGACAAAGTTGAAGGTGAGGCAAGCATGAACCTTAAGAAACGCCAAGACATTTTCAGAAGCACATTCTTTCAAAATCATAAAAAAATGTTGCTTTAAATCTTCACTTGGAAATGTGATCCACAAAATAAATGCACTTGTTTTTGCTTTTATTTTATGGACCTTTTTGGTAACTATGTCAAGTTGTGTGATTTCCAGACACCTCAAAGACAAAATCAGTTTAAAAACCTAGTTTACTCACCATGGTGTGACTGTCTGGATATCAAATAACATGCTCCTAATGATAAACTATTATGTTTCTATAAAAAATAGCCCACACTTGATATACAGTCAACTCTCTCTAAGACGGACACCTTTGGGACCGGCACTAAGTGTCCGTTTTAGAGAGGTGTCCTTCTTATAGAGAGTCAAATAAAAGGAGTAAAAAAAGGCAGGGACCAACTCTAGGTGTCCGTTTTACAGGTGTCCATCTTACAGAGGTGTCCATGAAGAGAGAGTCACTGTATCAAAATAAAAAATGACTCTGAGGCTTTCTGGTCATGTTTCTATGTCTGGTTTTCTTTTTTCTCACATCTGGTAATCAGGATTTGCAAATCTCTTTGTTAGGCCTATGAATAAGTAGTCAGGTTCGAATTTTGAAAATCAAGCATTAGCTATTAAAGAAAGAATCAAAAGTGTTGCATAAACATACAATGCCAAACTATTGTTAAGGAAGCAAATTTTAGAAAAGAATTTGAAAGAAAATGCCTGATTTATAAGTAGAATAAGAGTAAATGCTAATCTGTTAAATTCTCAAAGACATTTTTATACCTTTGTACTTTGGCTTTTTGTTGGTGCTTTCATCTGCTGCAGTGTCTTGCATGGGTGGTGGTGGCATAAGACTTTGATCCACCCCTACTGTTGGAGTTAGGGAGTGGACAAGATTCATGACATTTGTGTCCTTTGGCAGAAGTAAAGGCAATTTGGAAGGCAGTGGAATGATTGGAGCCTTCTTTGCCTGAAATATGCAATATGTTATATCAACTCACTTGTTAGCTTTTTAAAACCTACATCTGTTAATGTGAACAACACAGGGTTTTATCTAGAAGGTGGCTGTTGGCAATTTTATCAGCCAAAAATGAGCTTACACCTGATGTAAATAACACAGGAAAACAAAGACATAGGGTAATTTCTAAGTTGAAGTTAAGTAAAAAGCTGGCTAGACTAACAAAAATCAGAATACACCTGCATGCTTAGCTTTTCCTTAGGTACATCCTTGATAACAATGCAAACACTTGAAGGGGTGGCAGGAGTGAAGTTCTACTGAGCAACTCCTAATGACATCAAATGAAGGAGTATGTGAAATGAGTTTAAAGGCTCCTTTGTCAGATGTCACAGGTGAATCTTGATTTGCTATGGTTGCCTCAGAACTTCATGACACTGCTATGAGCAGAGGTCAAATTCTCCCTTTGACTCATAAGGAAAACTCCTCAGAGAATCTAGGGTTTTTGTCGGATGTCAATCAGGGCTCAATTCCACACATCCCTTAAAGTTTGCCCCTTGGTTACAAGCACCACAAGGAAATTTAGAAGAAGGATCCAGTTTGGGGCTCTCTTTCAAGTCAGTAACAAGTTAAGCAGCAGTACATAGCATGTACAAAAATCAGTTACCTTTTCCTTTTTGGGTTTGGGGTTTTCTTTCCTTGAAGGTGAAGGCTTCAACTGAAAACCCTGTGACACAGCATAATTCTGTGTGTAACAAAAAAGTTCCAATAATTTAGTCAAGATTACTCCAGATATATGATATATGCCCCATTCACACCAACTAAACAAGTTAAAAAATGAAAAGCAATGATGGAAAACTGGAACTCAGATATTTACATGTACATGATATTCAAATAAATTTTAACTTACTCTGTAATTTGCTCATAATTTGCAATAGCCAGAAGTCCATATGCAGCTTTTACGAAGAAGACAATTTTGAACCATGTTTAACTTAACAGCTTTTAACCATGTTTAAGCTTTGGTGTGAATGTGGCTATAGATACCAGTACCAAAAAGCTACAAAAATTCAACCAACATGCTGAGTCACACGCCTATTGCAAAGGTTCACAACATTTGTCATGTTAACTTTTGCTTAATGAAGTAAGCTCATTACATATGTGTCTAAATTACCTTGAGTTTCACTAGAGTAGTTGGTAGTCTTGATTTCCCATGCCAGACATATCTGTTCTTTGCATATCTGGTGATTACTTCTACACTTTCCAGTACATTAACAATGTCATATATACGCCTTCTTTCTACACCTACAGAAGATTTCAAATAATTTGTTAATTACCGGTACATGATTACTTAAAATATCGTATTCTAACCTCAGCTTGTTTTGGCAGGTACACATGTCCAAGGAAAAAGGGAACGTTAAAGTGGAATGATGGACTACTGAAAGTATACTTTCAAATGAAGCACGTGTGGGTTATACGGGAAATATTTTGCAGAAGATCTCACCCTTGAAGTTCCCAAACTAAGGTAAAGCCAAAGGTATCCTGATGAACATGGCACACCTCTCCATCATGGATATGTCCCTTGGTATCAAAGATACCAAACAATATTTTCATACAATTTCTAGCTCTGTAAAACAGGCATCTCTGTAAATGGGCACTTAGCAGTTGGCTCTTTAGTTGCATTAAGGACGTTTGATTGCTGAAGTATCACTTATAAAATGCTTGTTGGCTTATCCTCTGCATAAATTCTCAACTGTTTTAGGCTTGGGGTCTTGCTCTGCTCCAGGAAAATTAAAAAGAGCCCTAAATTAAAAGCTATGGACCTGTCAAATATTTGGAACTGCTTATAATTGAGTATGTTCGTGTCTTATGATTCATCTATACTTTTTATTTTATATTAAGAGAGTCTTTCTTACTGAGATCCTTTGCGACGTCATCCAAGCTAATTTCAATAAATTCGTTCCTCTTTGGATATTCTGGATATTTTGAGAGAAACCTGTTGCAAATAGAGCATACATACTTGTCTAGAAATACAAAACAGTAGTTTAAGCTACATGCATTTTGAAATTAAGGTACACATTTATGTTTACTTGCTACTTATGTCAAATGGTCTCAAGTTATGTTTCTTCTAAATACTATCCACCAGACTTCTGTTTTGAGAAATTAAATTATCGTGACTTCATTAATTAGAAAGCTTCTAAAATGAGTAAGCCATTACATATGTAACGCAAGGTTGTGGTCATGCCATTTTCTGTTTGCCTTTTAATTTTAATTTTATGGAAGGTTTCTGTGAAAATTAGTCCTAATCTCGCCTCCAAGGGAAATAAACTATTTAACATCAAGGAAGCATCAGAATAGAACAAAAACAGCAACTGTTTTGGCGCGTAAACAAAACGCGTCCACTGTCATTACAAATTCAAACATTGCCACCTCTCGCCAAATTCGGCCAAATTTGGCGCTAAACGGTTAATCACGAGCAACGCTCATATCTCCAATTTTCTACTTACTTCTGGCACAAAAGGCCAAGCGATTTGTCCTTTCTGCTAACAGTTATCTTGTTTCCTCCGCAATCAAGTTGGGAAGACTCTTCTTTTATGAATTTTTCGTCTACAAGTGCTTCAGACTGTTTTGAATTTGAAATTAGCGAGCTCGCCGCCATGTGAAGAGCCTCGAAGGTGTTAGAATTTTGACCAGGAAAAAGTTCCCTTTTCTTTATCTCGCGATCGCGAATTGCCGGGCTTGCAGCACTAACAAGCATTTTAAGATTAGCTGTAGGTGTGAGTGGATCATCACCGCTTTGATTTGTGCAGTTCTTTGATGTATCTGCTAACTTTGGCGGGGTAGCGGGAAGTCCTTGATTCCAAACACTGTTCAGCAGCTGACTTGTAATTTGATGTTTGCAATCTTCGATGCCAGCAACCGGCAAATTCTTTTCCTCCTGCACGAGTGACTCATCAGAAACCATTTTATTCGCCTCGCAATTTGTAGCTATCGACGAGAGTTCCGCCAGCGAAGGGTATCTGGCTAAAGGGATTGATTGTGATGAGCTGTTACACTCGCTGTCCGTATCATCAAAATCACTGACGTCTGGGTTCATTTTATCGTCGTTGGCATCCCAGCCTTCAGGAGTTAATAAAACTCGGTTTGATTCCATGTTACCCTTGAAATCATTGAAAGGAAATTTGGATTAGTTTAGCTGGAGGTACAAACAGATGAAATGTATCGTAGTACAAATTAAAATATTCATCTGCTTACTCGTTACAAATTAGATCTCTGATCATGACATACGTTATCTTTGATCTTAAAAACGTTACCAGTTGTCTGCAATCACATGATAGTTTTGAAAATCAGTTAATTATTTTCTAAGAAGAAGAAACTAATACACAAAATATACTTAACATATTTGAGAGCTGACGAAAGACTCGAAAAGCTGGAGCGGGAACACTGAAAGTTCGTGTCGATCGAAGTGATCACGTTAACGTTATGTACCTCACCTCTTTACTAACCTCTGTCAAATGCTTATTGAAAAGCAGCTAACACAGCGCCGTCGATACTTCATAGAGGTGGAAAAATTCACTTTGAGGGCACTTGGAAGCCAAAACGGCTGCAGCAATCACCTCGCTTTTCTTTACAAGTACAATGGAATCGCTTTGTAGCGGTTGTGACTTTTGGCGCGTTCAATTTTACGCGGGGATTTCGGGTCGTCACCCTCCGTCCCTTTGTTAGCCAATGACATTCACTATTTTTCATCATGTGATCTGTACATAAAACCTGGCCAGGTAGCTTAGCTCGCTTTCGTTTTTTCGCGGAAGTTGGCAAGACCTGGTTACTAAGTGAGCACGCTCAGCGCGCGCCAACAAAATGGCGGCCACTAGAGGAGGTATATGGAATGCTATTTTTGCTGCTATTTACCTCTTTTGAACGTTTTAATTGACGTTTTCTTTCTTTAACTTTTAGGGGTATGGAGACCTTACAAGGAGCTCCAGGCAGTGGTAGAGCGATCACTGTACAAGAAAAGTCCTGAAGTCTATCATGAACTTGAGGTTTCCTTGAAGAAATTTAAACCAGATTTTATCTCTTTACTGAAGAATCCGGTAAGCTCTGTTCAGTTTGCAGTGGATAAGACTCAAAATTAAGCCTAGCTTGTTCCAGGCGTTCAACCGTTTCTCACTACTGTGGAACCTCGATTTAACGAACCCTGGTATAACGAACGATTTTCCTTGAGCCCAGCCAAAATTACACTAAAAATATGTATGGAACAGAACCTCGATTTAACGAAATCCCCGTTATAACGAACACAATCCACGAACGCAGACGTAAAATTTACCTCGATATAACGAATAAATGTCAGCATGTGATAAAAGATGAATGCCAAACAAACCAACAAGGATGGAATTTATGTGTACAGTACATGTGTAGCTTTAAGCAATTTTGTTTGCCTGTTTTTGAGTTCCTAGTGCCGTAGCTATGTATAGCTCAGTAGTGAAATGTTATCACAGTAATTTTTCAGATCCGAAAATGCTGGGTTTTGTAAATTAATTATTAACTTTACCTCGATATTACGAACATTTTAGTCATTTTCCTGAAAATTCGTCAAATGGAAGTGTTCGATATAAGGAACCCTCGATATAACGAACAAATTTCCCCGGTCCCTTGGTACCACTGTATTTGAATACGTGGAAATGACTAAATTAAGCCAAAATAAAAGTCTTGTAACTGAACTGTACCAGCTTTGCATACATTCAAATGACAGTTTCTACAAATTATATATATAAGTCTGGTGAGGGACAATATTTTGAAAAAAGTTATTAATGTATTCAAAATTTAAAAGCAAAAGTGGGATTGTGGAGCATGACAAGCCACATTGTTATGTAGAAGTCCCTTTTCTTTGTGCAGCAAACTAAAATGACACATATGCGTGCAGGCTTCTGAATGTCAACAAGACAATAACACTTAAAACAAAAAAATAGTATGTCAGAAAACTGGGTTGTAAGACAGGAAGTGCCCTAAGCATAGTATCCTTTTGACAAGATTTTGAAAACAATTGCTTAAATTTATTCCATGAGAAGGTCGTAAAAATTTCTTAGAACTTTCAAAGGTAGAAACCTTGCAATAGGAGATTGAAGTAGCAGGCAAAAAAGGAAACGACTTTGTTTCCCTCTCAACGCTAGGTGAAAAATGCAGACCATAGAGCTCAGTTGAAAAAAGCACCAACCACTGGCCTTCAACTGGCTGGTCATGCTGAGAAACAAAAGCTCCCTGAGCAGTTTGTGCAAGAATCTCTCATACTCAGTGACATCCTTGAACTGAACGAGTTTGTTTGTGCGGATTTGCTTCTCGCTGGTGAGCAGCAGCAACCCAATTTTCCTGGTCTAACAAGAGGACTTGTAGCAGTGCTCTTGTATCATGATGGACGAAGGTGTCTAGCCAGTGCTTTGAGAACATTGATCCAGTCACGTGAGGGAATGACATGGACACTTGGTCTATATGAGGACTTAACACAGTTGGTTACAAAATTTACGGATGAGCTTGTGAAACAAGGTAGTATCAGTCTATTAAGGATGGTTTTCACCAACAATAGAATCAGAGTCAGAGCCATAATCCGTTTTAACAGAGTCATCAGAGCTATTATAACATAATGTAAAAAATATAGTCTAGATTCATTCCTTTGGGATGAGTGGGATCAGGATCAGTGATCCGAAGTCACTCAATCGCTGATCCTTATACAGATCATCCCAGTGGAATGCACCCATAAGCTTGACAGTATCAAAGTCATGAGAATCAGGGCTGGGTTGTTCGAAGCTGGGTTAAGGTAACCCAGAGTTAGCGCGAACTTTGAACTCAGATATTAGAGCTTAAAATTCAAATTCAGTTTAATTCTTTTTGCCTACAATTTGATGATTGGATACTCTAAAAAGAATAGAGAAAATTATCCAAGAAAAAGAAAGCCGGGTTAAAATTCAACTCCGGGCTAGTGCTAACTGGCACTCGAACAACTGGGCCACGAACAATAATCCATTTTCTTCTGACTCTACTTATGACTTTGCCACTCATTACCTAATCAAAATGAGGTCATTGGATGCAAAAGCAGATTGAAGGGTAACTTGGTCATAATGCTTGTTCTTACACTTTCCTGCTGGGTTAGTTCTTCCACCTCTGCCTTCAACACTCTTTTCACAAGGCAAAGAACATTAGACAAAACTCCCTGCTTCTCATTATGACTACCTGTTTTTACTCAATCCGATTGCAGTATGTCCTTACAGAAAAGTTAGCAATATGTTAATGAAGATGAACACATTATGCATAATTACACCTATATGTTATAAGTTGAACATCCTGGAAAATATTGCCAGAAAATGATTCTTAGCTTTTGGTACTGATAAATTCCACTGTGAAACAACATCTAAAAACTATACATGGGGAACAATTTTGTTCCTGCAAATATAATATTATTATTGTTTTGCACCTGTTCATTATCTTTGCTTTATCTTGTCTTCTAGGACTAACAACAACAATTCTTCAACAACTTGATCAGCTTGATGTTCAAAAAGAACTTGATAAGCTTGAAAGAGGACAAGCAATAGGAGATGAACGTCACAAACAACAACTAATAGACTTCATTACAGATCAAAGACAGCTCTTGGCAGAATGTCTCTTCTGCTTTGCTTGTCAATCACCTCTCCCAAGAAGTGACTGTCTTCAACTATTGTCCTTTCTTAAGAAGTGTCCATCCACTGAGGCAGATGGGACACTGGACAGTGTCACTCTTACTTTGTTGATGACTATGTTGTATTGTTTAAATGTCGATCCTCTTGATGAAGCAGCAGAAATGCAATCTTCTTTTCGAGGTGAGGAGTACTACATTATTCTTGTTCTTTTCTTCGTGCTTTATCTTCCAGGTAAAGGGTTGTCAAAAGTAGCTGGCTGCCGGTGAAAAATCACCGCCTACTTGATTAGTACAAGTATTGGCCAGCTACTCTGCTTGGCATTTCTTTACGGATGGCGTTTTTTAAATAATATATCCCTGGACTGGCTGCTTACTTTGACAACTCATCTGTCTACTTCAAAACTTTCTGACAACCCTGCAGGTGTAGCATGATTTAATTCAAGACAGAAATCTTTTGTTCATGCTGTGTGTGACTACAAAACTGAGCACATTACTCAGTTTATTGCTGCACTTTTCGATAACACACAAACTCTGAAACTTAAAATCCAGCTTATAATAAATAGCATTTTTCGCTACTGTCAATCATCAATCACAGGCAACCAACTTTGAATCCCAGAAACACACAAAATGGATCGAAGTCCACCGATACCAAATCACAAACCATGACCTTTTGAACTCTTAAAGTAAGCAACTGTTTCCCAAGAGGTCCGCTAAGATGACTGACAGCAGCTGTTAGTTGGCTTTTAAAGTTCAGAATGCCAGTATTTTCGAAAAGTGTAGTTATTATAGATTTAAGAAGGTAATTTGGACAATTGATTTTGTAAGCAAGTGTTTTCTCTTTTGAGTAGTTTCTTAAGTCATTACTCAATTTGTACAAACTCTGTTGGTATCTACAAGCATCTATGATACCCGGTGAAATCTGCTTTTAACTAGTGTATTTTGAACATTATTTTACAGAGGAAAATTTTCCATTGTTGTCAGACCACAGTTTTATTCCAGAGTTTCATCAGGAAATCATTCAGGAAGGCACTTGGGAAAATCCAGGGTTGTGCGCGTGCATCCAGTTTGCTTGGGCATTAGTACTCCGATCTTGCAGCCAGTGGCCAAATATTGTTGGGGCTGTTGAAGTCCTTGAGGAAGATGAAGGAGTTCTGGATCTTGCTGTGGATGAAAATGTGTTTGGTTTTCTTCGGTACTGTGTTCTAGGAGCAAGTAATTTTCACCAAGAGGTATTTGTAGATCCCAGTTCTACCACCTTTCATTGAATGATGCTGCTTTGCCGTTGCTAGGGATTTTTATGGAAATTAAGGCCAGATTTATATTTTTCTTTGGAATGCACTGGTACTTGCCATTAAAATGTTTAACAGTGCCCTCCCTTGAAGACACTTTTGGAAATTATAGATTGAAGTGTATATGGCAAGATTTTTTTCATTTGCTAGGTGGAATCTACACATTGTTCTTCTGGTGGGGTACAAAAACATGCAACTGAAAATAGGAGACTGGGAATGTTTGTGACCTCATGTCAGTTAGGACATTCTGTTTCATGGCAAGCAAATTTTCCTCTTATTTATTTCTTGCTGCAAAACAGAATATCGTGAAATGATATCACAATCATTGCCAGTCTCCTGTATACATTCGCACAGTTTTGTACCCCACCAGAAGTGAAATTTCATGTTTTTAGTTCTTCAAAAGTCAGCAAACAAAAAATTCTGTCATATACAGTCACTTTTATTTAAAGCAGTTTTTGTTTCAAACAGTACCAGTGGACTCACCAAAATTAAAGGCTACACTGGAGGCAAATTTTCTAAATATATACCTTTGTTAATAATCTTATTCTTAGGATCACCTAAATAATAAACAAAAATTTAATGTGCTTTCTGACTTTGCCAAGGTTTCCAAGAGCAAAAACTACAGTTTTCAAGATGATAAGTTGTATTTATGAAAGTAAAATAATGTAATCTTTTTTTCAGGAGTACTTTGTTCAAAGATTACACTCCTTAGTAACAGGCTTCATTGTTAAGATGCCATTGAAGGTACGGCTTTTGTCAGATTTCTTACCACAAATCCTCTTCATTCTCCCCAAGACACAATATTATTGTAAGTTTAAAGTTGTGTTTATCTCTTTACAAACACATAGGTCAAGGAGCTGCGTAACCATGGTGATGAAGCTGCGCGGATCCTTCAAGCACACAAACTAGATGGTGTAGAACCACCCGCTGGTCTGCCGAGACACTTTGAAGACTTCATGAGAATGGTTTGTGGGAAAATCATGTAAAAAAATAGAAAATTAATATTCGTTAGTCCTCCTACTGACTCATTTTAGTACAGCTTTAAACTACATTTTAATGGTTTTTTGTCATTGAGGTTATAGTTAGTAGACGTTTTTATCTATTATTACAATTCATGTCAACTAATAATACTAATAAATAGTAATAACAATAATAACAAGAACATTAACAAAAAAAGAGCCATTGGAGTTGTGCAAAAGAGCCAGAGACCCCATACATTATGTGTCTGGAGCAGTTTTTTTTTTTCATTTGCATTTTTGTTCATGTACAAGGTTACTTTGATTCTTGATTTCCTTTGTTCCCTAGCTCTGGGATACAAAGGAAGTTGAGAATCAACCTAGGTTAACAAGTTTTAACTTAAATTCAAATTTGACCTCTAATGCATATACAAGACGTATACTGAGAACTGTACAACTTGAAGACTGATGTACAGAAAAATACAACTAGTTGTTAGAGGATATAGAATCAGAGTATAGCCAGGGAAAATACAAGATGAAAGTTGCAGAGAATTCTCATAAGAAAGTTTTTTTAGGCACAGACAAGGCCAAATGATCTTTTTATCTGCAGATTGGAGAACTGTATGATGATGATCCATCAGGTCTTGAACTTGCTACAGAATTCTGGTGTCCTACAGACACAAGCTTGTCAGCTCCCTTTTCACCTTACAGTTCCTCTAGAATTTCACCAGCCGTAAGGCAGCGCGCTTCACAGAAACAGGTAGGTATTTACAATGGCTGAAGGCCAGCGGCAAGTTGTTGAAAATGGAGAAATCATGATTAAACTTTGCTTTAAGCCAAATTAACCAGATAGTCTGACAGTGGTCAGCAGTGTTAACTCAGGTGTGAAGAGGTCATTGAAGTCAAGGGAACATTATGTCACTAAATTGGATTTCCAAGAACTCTTTGGATCCTAATCCTATACTCCCAGTGTCCTTTGCTAAGAGGTGTTAAAAAAATAGTTACATATTTTGAGTTTGTGGATGAAATCCTTTGATGTGACCATTTATACTGCTCTCACATCATAGTGGTGGTTCCATTGTTATACAATCAAATGTGGGAAATCTTGTCTTGGACTTTAATTTTTGCCTCTTCTGGAAGTGAAAGATTAAAAGAACCTCTCCTGAGGACAACATTGTCACATATTTTTAAGTACTACAGTTGTCTGTACTAATTTTCCAGTTTTTCATTGTGATGGCTTTCACTTGCGATTTATTTTGAAGCAGAAAAATTCAGTACCACTCAAAAGTAAGTTAACATGCCAGTCGCATCTTGGTTTCTGGAGTGAGGATCAGTGAATCTGCAATTTTTGGAATGCATTATCCATGACCCATCCTGTGTTAAGTCAACTAACTTTGCATATCATTATCTCAGAGACAGAAAAAATGGGTGTTGGATTTTGAATAATTTTAAAGTTTCCTTGAGCTTGTCATCAGCATGGTATTTAAATGGAATTTTTGAGTTTTTGGATAATGTTATAGCGATAGATATTTGACCTTTTGGTTGCTGAAACATGAAAACTGCTTGTAGTGTCATTGAGTTTGTGAATGAACACACCCCTACGGACGAAACAAAAATTCCATAACTCGTATGTATGACGTATCTTTGCTTAGGTTAGTCTCAACAAGTTTCTTCGCTTGGCTGGAGATCTTTTGCCGCCTTCACTGTTTGTACCATATATGGAGATGTTAACAGGCCTCTCAAACAGCCCTCAAGCTGCTCATTACTGCTTTAACCTCCTCAAATCCACAGCAAATGGACCTGTATCTTGGGATCACTTCTTTGCTTCTATAAAACAGTATTACATGGATCTAAGACAGGATGGTGGACATGCAGGTAGATTACTATATTATATGTTCATTAATATTCTTGTTTTTTCTTTTTTTTTTATAATTATGCCTGGTTGTTTCATAACATTGCCATGAGTGCATGCAACATTTATCCAGTTTTTCAGTTACCAAAAAGTTTTCTTTTTCTTGAATGTATAACAATTATGATATTTACCTTGACTGTTGTAGAGTAAGGTTAGAACATGCTAGGTGACAAGCTGCAGCAACACGTTGCTGTGACACTTCACAGCAACAAATGCTTTGTGTGTACTGGAGAATTTTTTGGTGAAAATATTTGTGTCGACAATTTGATTTGTGCAACTTGTTGGGGTGACAAAATTCTGTTGGTGAGACAGATTTTCCTCAAAATTCTCCAGTATACATGAAACAATTTGTTGCTGCTAGTGTCACACAATTTGTCCTTATACCTGTACACAAGAAGTTACTCTTTGCTGTGATGTGTTGCAGTAATGTGCCCTAGTGTGTTCCAACCTTTAGAGGGCCTGGAAATAAGGAAAAATACTACCGAATCATGGCCTGTTTCATTTGTTTTTGTTAGGGTATAAGGTGCTCATGTTGGCATTGTTAATCCTTGAACTTGTTTCTCTTTAGTTACAATATATGGAGGACTGAACAGGGATACCAGTCACATTCACAGGCCTGCTCACCTGTCAAATCGCATCATAACACAAGAGGAGTTAGAAGGTCTAGAGTCAGTGTTGAGACTGACAGAGAGAGTGGCTGATCAGGTGGGATGTTACAAGACAATTTTACTTGCCTTAAAGACTGAATGTTAGCTAAGTGGGCCAGAGCTTATGCCTTTAGCATAAAACAACCAAGAATATAGGATGCCATTCCATCACTGGGTTACCTTTTTCACTAGTGCCCATTTGGGTTAAGTGAGGCACTGCTTGTGAGAGTCAACACAGTATAGTATAGTTTGAGTCTGGTGCATGCCCTATTTTTAGAGATAGCATGTTTTCGCTTTCTAGGATGAAAAAGCTCGTTTGGCTATGTGTGAAAGTCAAGCTTGGCTTCCCATTGCGTCGTTGTTTGGTCTGCTTGGTTGCCCTGTGCCTGTGAGCCTCAAGGCTCAGATTCTCTCCACACTTGCAGCATTTGCAAAGTCTCCTGAAGTTGCTTCATCAATGTGGCATACCTTAGAACTTTCGCAGGTGTGTTAAGACTGTCAATATTAAATATCCACGTCACTCAGTAAAAAAGATCACTGATTGACCCATTTTTATTTTATATTATGTGTATAACAGCACTGCATTATAAAAATGTAAAGTGCGCATTAATTATGTGTATGTGCATTAATTACATATATTTAATTTTGTTTATTGAAGATATTCACACTGGGAGATGTAAGAGAGAGTTTTAAGCAAACATGAGTTTAAGCAATGGCAATGGGAACATTAAACAAGCAATAGGTTTAGAAAGCAAAATTATGAACAATAACTTCTGCATGTACATCACATGTTTTTCTACATCTTTGCTGTGACTGTGAACTTCACAACATGACATTTTACAGAAAACGTAAACAATCAACCACAAATTTCTCTTTCTCTGTTGAAATCATGGCTCCCTAAAAATTCATCTCATGGAAAGTTTGCCAACGTTTGACCAATTGAATCAGTTTAAGTAATTGCAATGAAATTTAAGGGAATGCAAAATTAATACATTTCATAATGACTTTTTTACTGCCATCACCATTATAGTTTTTTAAACTGGTCATATTATGTCTGACAGTTACCTTGTTCTTTGTTTTTGTTCAACCCTAACTCTCTCAGTTCCAAACGCACATATTAGTGGTTCAGGGTCTGGTTCCTGAAAGACCAATTAGTGCTAATCCAGCATTAAAATTTTGTTCCACTTTTTGTATTTACCTTCCTATGAATTGCGTAGAGTAACATTTTGTGTTATCAATACTGTATCTCAGACTAAAGGCTCAACAGTATTTTGCAAGTTTGGGTTTCATGTTCTAAGACAGGAAAACCCTGCTTAAAATGTGGCTTAATCTTGGGTTAAACTTAACCATCTTTCAAGGAGCCAGGCCCTGCAGTTGTTAAACTTTTATACCTTCAGCCACATGGCCTTTTGTTTGACATCTCTTGTCCTTTATCTAATAAACAGTTGTGACTCAAATATAAACTTCATTAAGATAATTCTTTTCTTAAAAGCTTTGCATATTATGTGACTGCTTTTTTTTTAATCTGAAATTTGTGGTCAGATTTTGCAGACGGTTACACCAACTGGTCAAGCTGTCCAACAAGGTGGAATACAGGTGATAAACCATTAAATTTTGGTATCATATAGAGAGTTTTCAATAATTTACAGGGTTAGCAAATTTTATTGATGAGTGGAGTCAGTGTGACTTCTGCTTCACAAATTTTGGAATATTTGGAGTCAAGTATCAGACTTTCCAGCACGTGGTCCCGGCATGTATACACTATCGTGAGGGACGGTAGCTGTGGCGGTCGCTGACCTGGAAAGCTCAAATTTATTTGGCGGTCATTAAACTTTGATCGTAATTTACCCTCTTCCTGTTTTGTGGGATGCCTGATTTAATTAAGGTTTAACGTTTACAATTAACGTAAATTGTATTTGTTCGAAAAAGGTAAGGATAAAACTGTGTTTGTTTTGGCTCCCTGTTTGTTACGAAAAATTTTTTGAGTCAAAGTGACTCCCTCCGTAACCTCAGTGGAGTCATCTGAACAATTTTGGCGTAAAATACGCCAAATTTAATAGAAAATTTATTTGACATTGCTGACCAGTCTATGGGATGCCTGATCTAATCTTACTTATTAATTTTTTAAACAGTTTTGGTAGGTTTTTTAAATGAAATCTAGCTTAGACCTCGTTAATAGGAAATCTTTGGACCTCCAGATCTCTTCTGTAGTGGGTTATTTTAAGAACATAAGTGCTTTTCCAGTCAATACTATATACTTTCATTAAATTGTTCTCAATAAAATTAATGGTGTTTATATGAAAGTGTTTGGCAACTGGAAAATGACTTAGAAATTGGTTTTGTTAAACACTGGCTAAATTACATTTAAATAACTGACCCTTTGCCTTTCATTGTCAGAGTACCCTATCAAAATCATCATGTAGATTTTAAAAACAGTAACCAATACTTGTATTGGGAAAAATAATTATTGTTTTCAAATGTCCTAAATAAATAACAACTGTTATGTGATGATTTTTTTAGGTTGAACTGAACGAGCTTGAAGCCCGCAGTGAAACATACCCAGAGACAAGAGCATTCCTTAAGCTGCTTAATAACCTGACAGAGATTCCCCTCCCCTCCACCCTGGGATCAGGTTATCGGGTGCCAGGCTTTGAGCCATATTTGGCCTTCCTAAGAGATGATGTGTTTCTTAAGTTTAATTCAAGAGGATACCAAGATCCCAATGAGAAGGTAGATTTATTTTTACTTACTTTTAAAGACATAAAATTACAGGGAATGTCGCAACCCACCATTATTACTGTCAAACCTCCCGTAAGCGACCACCCAAAATGCAAAGATTTAGTGGATGCTTACAGGAGGTGTATGTGAATCAAACCACATGGGGCCTCTTCCAAGAAGAGGTCATGACACATGACATTTCCTTTATTTCATGGAAAAATGATACTTTCCTCATACGCTAACAGAGTAACTGGTACCAATTTAAATAACTGTTTTGTTGACACTTGATATGTTTTTAAGTGGTGAACTCACAATTAAAGCATTTAACCCAAGAACCCAAGAGTGACCGTCACTACAATGAGCGCATATAAGTCTCAGAAGATTTTAACTTTCATTGTTTTAAAATCATGAGTCTTTTTAGCAGATTTCATACACTCAAAGTTTTGCTGAATAGGTCTTGTTTAATTAGAGCTTCAGGCTCACCAAAAGTTCTTGCTGAAATAGCCTGATTTCTGCATTTTTTTCTTGAGTAACAAGCTTCAATATGGCTTTTCAACAAAAATGTGCAAAACTCAAGGTTTAGTATTAGTCAGTGGCCATGGAAAGTGATGTTGCTGACTAAAATATTTGATGAAATATGTTTGCTTCTTATAACAGTGGAAGGTTGCCAGTGATGTTCTGCAGATTCTTTTCAAGTTACTTGAAGGTTATGTTCCAAGGCCAGAAGATTTTGTCAACCAAGTTGCTGAGATGCAAGGCGGAGAGAGAGTTCTTGTTCCAAAGCCACCAGGGTTTAGTCTCATGACTTACATGCTGAATGACACACCTATGCTAAGAATGGTTAGGGAATGTTACTCATTTAGCTACAGTTACCAACAAAGTTAGCCTGAGAAATGAGCCGACGTTTTGCCATGCCACCTCTTGTTTCCTTGTGAACGATGTGTGGGAAATGAGCATGGAAATTCGGTCCTGACGACATGTTACTACCCAGATCTGGGTAGTGTTTCTGAATGGTTGTGACCCACGGCAAATTGCTTTGTCCAATCAGAAGCACTGCCCATATTTGGTTAGTAAAACGTCATCAGTATAGAATTTCTCAACTCATTCCTCAGTCGTCAATTTGTGGGAAGACCAGTGGTGGCTTGGCAAAATGTTGGCTGTTTTCTCACTTTACTACAAAACTGTCAGTTACTGCTCAGTGATGCAAGGGTGTGCTCCAGGAAAGGTTGCATGGAGCTCTGAAATTTTTAAATCCTAGTTGTTCACTATTCAAATGATATGCAAAATCTAAGATTTCCTTGATGCTGCATTGGTGAAAGAAAATTGCCAGTGTCCACCAAGTGCTGCTAGATCACAGATGTGGTGATGGCATGGCCTCAAGATGGCTCACAATAGCTTCTTTTTATGGACCAATACCACTACCCTCTCCAGTTGATACTCTAGCAATGGCGTTAAACTTAAACTTGGTTGACAATTTATCTCATGTAAAAGGTTACTATTATCCCTTTAAGCCCCAATATCCACATACAAATTCTCCAAACTGATCTCCATACATTTCCTTTAAGAATTAGTTGAGAGAATTTGATGGCAGATCAAAGCATTTTCTCTTTAGTGATCATTTCATAAATTCTCATAACCTAATCTCTTGACAAGGTTTGAATATTGTTGGGAGAAAACTGATGTTGGTCACCATTGGGACTTAAAGGGTTGCCAATCCCTTACCTTGAGCTTTTATGGCTATTAAATTGCAATTCAAAATGAGTTCAGTGATCCCCATTTTTATTATCCAATATAGGTGAGCATGTAGAAATACAACTTTTTGCTAACTGTAAAAACATTGTTGGGTGAGGTTCAGTTTAAGTTTTGAAAAAATATGACAGCCCATTTCCCCAGTTTACATGTATGAAAACCCTACCATGTCATAACACCAGTAAAACAAACATTGTGATTTGATCAATGCAAGCTTTTCAAAACAAAAATTTGCAGCAGCAAAGCTTATCATATGAAGGTACATGTGAGACTTTAAAGTGGCTCTGAATCCTCTCCCTCAATAGCTTTACTTATCATGTCTCTCCTCTTTTAGTTGCTGAATGTCATTGATGGTGCATCATCTTCACTTGAACACCTCTCTGTTACCTCTGGTAAAGTTTTTTATTTTGATTTTTAGGACATTGTTTCTGAATTAAAGCAGCCTTATTGTTATTAGATTATCAGTGAAAAACCAATTCTTCTGGTAAGGTGGTTCCTGTGAGAGGAGTTTGCAAATGTATTGTAATTACTTAGCTGTTCTAATTTAACATGGAACTCAGGCATCTTCTCAAAAAGTCACAAAAATAAGATCCAGACCCATTGTAACATAGTCAGAACTCCAAACTGGAAGGAGACAAACCATCTAGCTTTTAGCAAGTACAAGGCTGAGAAGCTGAACCAAGGCTGTTAGTAAGATTTCAAGTTGCTAAGGATAAGCAATTAGTAGGTGGGGGGGAATTGAACAGGTTTTCTATTTTCCTTTTGTTTCTTATGATAGTAGCCAGGGAAAATCCACAGCCCTCAGCCCTGCTGGAGTCAGGACAAGTGAGAAGAAGTAAACCATCTAATGGTCAGAAGAGGAATCACATTGACCACTTGGCCTCATTTTCTCCTTAATAGTCCTGACCTTGAACTTCATGCTCGTCTGCTGCACTCACTTATGGGATAATGTATTGTTAACCCGAAGAGGAATGTTATATCTCCAGTTCCCCGTGTACCAACTTCTAGATACACGTAATGGTTGCGAGCATTTATTATAACTGTTTAAGCACTTGCTGTGCCCTCCACTCTCTGATAATTTTGAAGGTTGTGATTAATTTCTGCAGATGTAAGGGAGGAGCTGGAGAAAGCAACATTGCTGTGTCTCAGAATGGTTGAAGTTGCACTGGAAAAGCAAGGGCAGTTCATGGAAATATTCCGCAGTGTTCCGCAGCAGTCAGCAGTTATGGTATCACCTTTGGAGGAACTCCTTCTTAGTATTAACCCACAGTCTAATACTGCAGACTATCTTCTTAAAATAATGAAGTAAGTAAATAAGCTGGTGGATTGATCTGGGGTTTATAGTTTCATTTTAAGACGGAATCCATCAGGAAATTGAGTAATTTTAATTTTTAGTGGACAAAAATCTTGTACCAGAACAATATTTAAACCATATCACATTCTTTTTCACATTTTTCAAGGGCCATAGATATAATTAGTTATATGTAATAGCACTAAAGACAATTTCTTATTTGAGCCCGAGAAAATGAATTTCAAATTTCACAGAAATTGTGAAAATGCAGGTAAAATTTTTATGCATAAGATTTCATTTTGGTCCATTTTGTGAAATTTGAAATGTGTTTTCTTGGGTTCCCATGAGAAATATTCTTTGGTGTTATTACAGATAACTAACTACATCTGTAGCTCTTAAAAAAAGTAAAAATGAATGTAATATGCATTATTCTGGATGAAATATGCATTAATCTGGTACAAGGTTTTTGTCCACTGAAAATAAAAATGACTCAATTTCCTGATGGATTCTGTCTTGAAATATTACTCAACATGTTTGGTCAGGTATGGCCATAAGCAGTACAACCTGTACTGACCAAATACATGTACCTAGTGCTTGGGCAAATATTGATTGATTGATTGATTGATTGATTGATTGATTGATTGATTGATTGGCGAATGTACATGACACTTGATTAGTAACAACAATGCTGCATCACGAAACATGGTGGTTTAAAGGAGGAAAATACAGGATACTCGTCTTGTAGCTAGAGTCAGGCAATTGAAAATTAATGTTTGCAAGTTGCAATAAAATTGGTCTTGATTTAAATCTGGATAAGTTTGGCAGCTGGATTAACACTTAAGCCAATCAAAACAGTAGTAGTAATACACTCAATTGTTCTTTGTAAACTGCAGTGGTAGCTTAAAATGTTTATTTCTGTGAGGTTGAGAATTTTTTCTCTTTTACGGCAGATTTGTTTCTCACCTTCACACTGGAGCTGAACTCATTCTTTCTGTTGTCAAAATTTTGTGTGTGGTCTGTCAATCAACAACAGTTCAGAGACATCTTGTGAGTTTGTTGACTGCAAATCAGGTGAGTTCGAGAGGTACTGTATAGTGACCAACATCAATTTTCTCGTTGCTATGTCAATTCATAATCATGAGAAGAAGTCTTGAGAATTAACGAAATGGTCAATCAGAGGAAATGCTTTGATCTTTTAACAAATTCTCTCAACTAAGGTCAGACTAAAGAATTGGCGAGTGGATATTGGGCCTGAAAGGGTTAAATACAGTGATGGCTTAGTTAACTGAAAAAATAAAGCTAAGTCGCCTTCGCACTAAAAATCAAAGTCGGCGTGAAAAATCTTCTGTATGCCTTATTTTGCCAATTATCACGTTCGTAAGAACGCATCCTAATCTTGGTGTTCCTTTGGTACAAAGCCCCAAATTTTCGAAACATCGCGGGCGACTGCCGATTGGCCGCCCCTACTGATTATATCAGGAGCATCCCGGCCGGCAAACTGGACTCCTTTCGACTCGATTTCGTTTGCGTAAGTGACGAACGCGGATCCGCAATCAATGATTGCCTCTAGTATCAACAATTTATAGTACAACAGAAGGCTTTGACTTATTTGCTCTTTTATCTTTTAACCCCAAGTCTGTATCACAGCAAATCCTGATTGGATTTGTTGACCAGCTGGAAATAAATGAACCGGAGGACCCTCAAGCAAAAGACGAACAAGAACTTGGAAAGGGTAGGTCTTTGTTTGTTACTGCTAGTATTTCCGTTTAATAAGGAATGTTTTGTTTAATGTGATTCCCTGGTTTTGCACTGCGCATCTCTTACTGCGCATAACAAGATGGCCTCCTGTAAAAAAGAGCATGTGAAGTAACATTATTAAAATGAAGTTGACCGAAGAGAAACGCTATTGCAATTTTTGCTTGCGGTTGATTCTTGCCGAGGTGAGACTCAATGTGGTGGGAATGTGCTTAACGTGAGCAGTACGCGTGTTGCTGAATTCGACTTCCTCACGGAGAACCTCGATAGTGGATGTTTAATTTGTGCTTATTCACGTTGATTTTCATTTAAACGCTTTCTTTATCACATTGTGTCCTAAATGTGATATCTCGATGTAAATTCTGTAAAAACGGATTTTTTAATACTTTCTTCCCCCTTTCGCATACATTCTATTTTGAAACTCGCCCCAGTCCTCTCTCAAAAATCAAGGAAAATGCATTTGGTACGCACTTTCTGCAGCTCTACCGCAAAAACGAGTACGATGACCCCCATTTTTTATTTCATGATTTTAATAAGGACAGTACTTCCTTTCGGTGAGAAAAAAATTGGCAGAAATCTATGTTCAGTTTTTTCGCAATTTCACTAAATTGTACGGATTGAGCTATGACGTGTCGAATAGCGCGTGTCCAATTTAATTCTACTTTGGAGCGTAAAGTAAAACCAAGGGCATTAAAAGGCATTTTTCTAGTACGTAAGTGGATAAACAATACATTAAAATCAAATTCTGTGCGATACCACATGCATCATTGAAAAAAATCTTTCCTTTTTGTCTAGTTTTGGGCTGAGCGCGGTTTTTGTCAAAGGGTCCAAAATAGCCGTATTTGTCAGCATTGTGACGTCAAAACGAGCACGGTGACCCCCACTTTTTATGACCTTTTTATCATCTTCTTGACTTGTTAGATCAGTGTACCAAGTTTCTCCTACAATCTATGTTAGGTTCTTTTACTAGGGAATCACCTTAAACTCAATCTTGCCCAATTGGAAGCTTTTATCCACTTTGAATTAGCCCGTTCCAGGCCTTCAGATTGTGGAGACGGCGCAAAAAGATGCGAACTAGAAAGGCAGCGAGGGGGTTGGGGTAGGGGGGTTTCCGGTCGTTTCTATACAAGTTTACTCTGTCGAGTTGTAAATAGTTCCACGTACTTGACCTAAAGAACGAAGAATATTCACCCAAAATGTTTTTCTTGTTCACGCGCAAACTATACTGGAAGTGAAAGAAATTTTGGTGCAATTCATCACTGCTTGAGTTCGTCTCGAAACGACTTGTTTCCAAACGACGACCGATTTCCTTAGGGGGCGAGAGCGAGTTCCCTCCTCTCTCCGGCCCTCGCTTCCTCCTTACTTTTTTCCCGTTCTCTGACTTCGCCAAGCACTCTACTATCTGAAGGCCTGGAAAAGACCAACTTTGAATACACGTATTCAATACTATACCTAATATAAGGGATCTCACAAATTTCTCTATGATTTCTTTGTCACAGAATTTATTATTGCACAATTATTTATCTCACAATTTTATATATGATTTCCTTTGTCACAGAATTTATTGATGAGAGGTCTTACGGTGCGGCACAGATACGGAATGCAGTAAGACAAAATATTTTGAGATTGATCCTTCATTCACTGCAGCACCCATCGCCGAATCTTGCTCATTTTCTAATGGGTTTTGAGCTGAGAAAGCCGTCATCAAAGACCAATCTCCAGGACCCTGGTAAGTAGCCGGGGTATTTGTTATTCTATAAGCTGTTGAGGACCTAACGTCTATCAAAGGCCCCGAATGCTAATTAAAAGACTCAGAAGTCCTGTCTCCTTTACCTTCTTTGAATTCGTACATTCTCCTACGCAATGAATATAACATTCCTACGTTTCACTGTCACTTTCGAACTACAGTACTTAGTTTAATTCAGTATTTACAAAACCAAAAATCAAGAGCTGAGTTAACTGGCACACTATTGGCTGTAACACAGTGACAGCCGAATTCAAAGAAGATAATGAATTCAAGGGATATGCCGCCCAGCCGTGCAAGATATATATATACTCTGCTAGTTTGCGAGAAACTCAAACTCGGCAGGTAAAGAGAGCACATCCTTACAGGAGAAGAAAATCAAAAGCAATTCTGCAACAATTATTCTTGTCTTCTGAGACTTCAAGGGAGCACAAAACAATTTGGGTATTAGTTCTCGAATTTTTTTGCCGGTCTCACTCTAACATACTGGCTGTTTTGCACTTTGAATAATCGGTGCATATATGGGTGCGTGGACCTTTTTTCAGTGAATTTTTTATATTTGATAGGTGTCCTTGGAGCATCTAAGACATGTCTTCATGCAGTACTAGACATGCTGAATAGAGGTGTAGATACACACCACGGGCCTTTTTGTGTGACAGAAACTCCAAAATTTGCTGAGCTTGCATATCAGCTAATTTATAGTCTATGCGCCAATAAAGACACTGCTACACCAACACTGCGCTATCTCAGGACCAGCCATGACTTCTTGTACCGTCATCTTCAACATTTACCTTTTAAGAATCTTTCCAGCATGGTTGGTGATGATGGTCAACCATCACTGCCGACGCAGACAATTGTTAGTCAACAATCGTGGCTTCTGAAGACTGCAGCTATTGAACTAAGAATGACTGCTCAAGGGCGTCAAAGGTCACACGCGCAGAGGCTTTTAGTGTTGTTAATGGGCGAGCCCTCAGCACAGGCAGTATTAGGCATGTCACAGGTTGTACCAGAGCTTGTTCCCAGACGACTAGAAGATGATTTCTCCGCAGCTGACACTAGCCATGTCACGTATGCTGATTTGGGAAAGGCACAGACTCGGCGCAAGCTTTTAGCCATTCTGGAGTCAGTAGAATTCAGTCAAGAGCTACCCCCGCCTTTGCATTTGAATTATTTTGATGTGTCCGTCACCGAGAAAGCCATAAGTTCATGTGAGCAGAAGGAGGAGGACAGTGGTGTAATGTTCTGTAATGTGCCTGCTCTCCATAAGTTACTGATGGGTGAAATTTCAGGGGTGCAAGGAACGGCAACAGCTGGACAAAGGAACTTTTTGATTCAGGTAAAACTTATTTCTTGCCGTAGTGTGAAATGTGGCCTAGTTTGGGGCCAAAGATAACTGACTCGGCTGGATATCAACCTAGTTTCTGCAGAGTTACCACAGCGGGGGTAAAGTCCGGGAAAACAAGAATTTTTTATTCTGAAAGTTAGGGAAATTTTGCAAACGAAGGGAAAATCTTGGTTCTTGGTTTAACAGTCGATACCTTTTAAATAACTTTCGCGGTCATGTTCTATGTGCTCTTAACAATTGTTTTTGAATAAATGGTGAACTTTTGATTTAAAAAAATAGATTTTGGTCAACGTGTGGGTATAAACAGTTGTCAATTCCTTGCAGTGTCCTAAAATCATCTGTGCAGTCACAAATGCGTTTGTGTTGGTCGCAATGTCGAGTCCTGCATGTTTCTTGAAAGTATTTAAAGGAACAGAGGTCCAAGTGTCCTTAAATAAACTCATAGTGCCTGTATCGTAGACGAAGGAAGGAAGGGAGGGCTCCCTCAGCAGCATATTGACAGTATGTCCTTAATTTTGTTACAGGAAGTCAAAGACATTCTTCATAGCGTTGTGCTTCGTAACATGATGCGAGAGAGCTTGCACATCAAGAAAGAATCCTTTGAGGCGTGGAGGAGGGTTGTAGAGGTGACCCTTGCTTCCTGTCCAGCTGATATTTTGCCGAAAGACACCAGACAGACTGTTATAGCAGATATACTACAGGATTTACTGTCCAAGGTACATGTATGACCTTCACAGTTGATGAATTTTAACTCTACAGTTGGTTCCTTTTATTTTTCATTTTCCTTCTCTTTTTCTTGCTCGTCTTTTTCTTTATTTATTTCCTGTAACAAAATGGTGTCTATTGATCTTCACATACCTCATGCAGAGAAAGCACTCGCAGTTAACCGCCGTATCACTACTCATCTCTGATGTACTTGGGTAAGCGCTGGTCTGTCGAGCGGGACGCCGCGAATTCAGAGCCTAGCCGGACCAACACACACAAAGTGCTGCTTTGGTGATGACATTTTGGAACGGTTAAAACTTTCAAGCCTTTTCGGATAAGGTCGATAAACCGTAGGCTTCGTTCAAATAAAAATTCCACTCTTTGTTCGTAAAGAGTAGCGGATGTTGTCCTCGGTGCAGTAGTGGTTCATCTCAAAAGAAATTCTCATTCACTTTAGGGGGCATTCATAACTCACTGCTTCATTAACTATAAACTGCGCCGTAAGCAGTGTGGCAAATGTCCAGACCAGTGTTGAAAATTATCCCTGAAATACTGGCCTGCGAGCAGGCTCACATGGGCGAATTCGGGGAAAATTTGGCGGTGGAACCGCCATCCAGCAAGTGCTCGCAGGCTATCCCTGAAAAGCCCTGGAAGAGTGGATAATAGAATGCTTAGTGAATCAGTATACAATGAATTTTAGATCGCAGATGAGGATGCGTTACCAGAGCTTACATCACCAGTATCAGGAGTCCTTCTCTCCCTCCTAGCACATCTGCGTCAGTGTACAATATCCCTGGACTCATCCACAGCTACATCCTTACCAATCCTAGATGGTACAGGAGGAAGCAGACCCCTGCATCAAGCGGCTAGCGGTAGCTCTCTACCTGTTGGACCATCTGTGGCCATTTTAAAGGGGCTCATTGAGACCGTGCTTCGATGTGGAGGCGGGCTACAACGGGTCAGAGCTAATTTGTACGCTGCCCTGTTGTACTTCATGCAGACCGCACCAGAGTCTCAACAAACAAAGGAAAGAGGTACCATGCTTAAAATGTAAAAAACATGTCCTGTCCTTGTTCATCGTCGATGATGTGTATAAAGAGTAAAATGTCGCCTGATGAAGACCTACAGTTAGCGGTCGAAACATGGCGATCAATACAGAGATTTAGAATCACGGCCGGCAAACGGCAAACGGGATTTTACAAGTTGAGAATTTCTCAAAATAGGAAATAAGTAGATAGAAACTGTCCAAAACAGTTCTTATGGAAAAAATGGCGTAAAACTACTATTTTTAAGTAGAAGTCATGAACTATAAACGACAAGTTATTGGAAAACTTGGTCACGTTGTACAAATTCACGTTTACCGTTTGCCGTAAGCGTGGCTCTAAATCTCTTTAATATCTAAGTGACAGTCGTGAGACAAACGATAAAACGAAACCCTTTATATGCCCTGTCCTCTTCACCGCCCGGTTTTGGCCAAAGAATAATTGTTACTAGTGATATAGTTCCTAGCGTCTCGGTCTGTTTATTGTGGGTAGAATTTTATTCACTCTTTTATTACCTCAATAGATCTCGTTAGCTTTTATGTTTTGTTTTCCCAATGTAAGTCATGTGATAATAATTTTGAGAACTATTTCTTTCAAATTTCGGATAATTCACGTGCATATGTAAGCATAATTATTTAAGAAAAGACAGAGGATCAAATTCCCCTGCGACATTGATTGAGAAAACATAGCATACAAGCTAAGTAGGTCTATTGGTAGAGCTGTAGTTTCTAGGACGAGTACTCAGAAACGTAACACGTCTGAGGGCGAGAATACCGCCTCTGCCCTGCAAGTGGCTAGACCTTCGCCCAGATTGAATTATGAAGCAGAAGTTGTGAGGCCAGGGACGGAAAACATTTGCCTCGAGTAGAACCTTGTGCTTATTGCGTTAATGCTTTGTTTTGTTAACAGGTGTAATGGAAAACGTGTTATCACTTTACCCTGGTCAGTCATGGGACACCAGTATTTTGCCTGTACTGTCCAGCTATGGTGAACCATTCATGGACGCTGTCTGTAGAGACTCCTGTGATGGCCACGACGTAGGAAGGGTAAGACAAGAGAAATCTTGTTACATCGGGCTTGCCTGTGACCCTGGGCTGCCTACAGATTGTAGCCGTACTACCGTAGTAGCCTCTTGCAAACTGTCTCTTTTGCTCAAGCGTTGCTTTTTCGGACCCTGTTCAAAACCGTGCAACGCAAAATTGTGCAGAAAACGTCCGCCTACCCGTGTTGCACGGCGTCAACGTTGAACTAAACATTGTTGCGCTAAAAATCATCGTTACGAATCGTTCTGTGAAACGAAACCTTAAGCTTTACGTGCAGAAGGGAACTAAAAAGTGTTTTGTTTTTTATGCAGATGCTGGCATTTTCTCTTTTGGATGCAATAGTTGCTGTTGACTGGCAACAGCGTTGGTTAAACTATCTCAGCCTTAAGGGATACCTCAGGCACATGGTGGAGGGACTAGCTCATGAGGACCACATACTGCAGTCAATGTTGAACCCTTCACCTGAGCCCCTGAAGGTAACGGCCCTAGGGGCTTTGACTTTTACGTGTTAAGAAAGGTGTCTTTAAGGACTAAAACTATTGTGTTGCAAGAGGTATGCACGGCCATAGATAGGATTTGTAGCGTTTGTTTATAAGCAGGCAGTTATTGCTGCTGCCTTTTGAAAGAAACAGAGCACATTTGTAACAATAGAGTTTAAGCTTCACGTATACGGCTAACGGCAAACGTCAGACTCAAGTTGAGAATTTCTCAAAATAGAAATTGAGAAGATAAAAACAGCTCAAAACAATTCTCATGGGTATAAACTCGCGTGAAACTACTAATTTAGGTGTAGAAATAATGAACAGTAAACGACAAGTAAAGGAAAAACTTGGTCACGTGGTACAAATTTGCGTTTGCCGTGTGACGTAAACGTGATCCTTAACCTCTCTAATACCTCGGTGTCATCATGCATGAGAGTGGCCATGCTGAGACAGTTCTTGCCACCTTCCAAGGAAGTTAGGCCCGGTTCAGACGCCGCTCCACTCATGCGCCGAACCTAGCTGATGAAGTAGGTACGGCAAAAGAGGGGTATCTGCATCAATTTGGTACGGCAGTTTTATTTTGGTGCGGGAAAAGTTCGACAGAGTCTGTCGAAAGTTTGTCGAACTTTTGTCGAACTTAACTTACCCTCGACACACGGTGCGCCGTCTGAATCAGATGTCGTGCCAGTGTCGCTCCAAAGTCAAAATTATTCAATAAGGTTCGGCACATGAAAAGTACCGCGTCTGAACCAGGCCTTACAATTTTTTGAGCGCAAAAACCTAACGACTTTCGTGATTGGATAACCTGAGAAAACAGTTGACGCTTCGCAAACCCACCACTGGTTTCCCCGCGAAATGACGCCAGGGAAACGAGCGCAGAAATTACTATACTGATGACGTGTCACTACTCAGATCTCATTGGTCGTGCTGCGTGGGAAACGTGCTTCAACCAATCAGAAGAACTACCCAGATCTGGGTAGTGACACGTCATTAATATGGGGTGGTGTCACGAAATGTCGGCTTTTTTTCTCAGGCTAGTGATTGGATTATCTTGTCTTTTTCACAGTCATGTTTCCGAGGATTTTCTTCATCCGTCGTGTCATTTTTACCTTTCCTAGGGTTCGAACTGTATTTGGCTTTTCCTAGCGCTCTAGACTAAATGCTAAGACAGAAAAAGCTACTCTAGAAACGTGTTAACAAAGAACTTGGAGCCTTGTTTTATTGCTTCGTAGATTCATATCCTAGATTAAATACAAAAGATTAGCATTATCATAAAGGATGTGTTGATTGACGGCGTAACTGTCTTTTGCAACAGGCATTGTACATTTACGAGTCCAAAATGGCCCTTTTAACCCGCATTGCACAGTCTGCAGAAGGCGCCAAGGTGCTTCTTCAAGCGGGGCTATTATCACGTTTGGCAGAATGCACCTTCCTTGATCAGAGGCCTGAGCGTGAGAGGACTGTAGGTTTGATGTCCAGGAGCCTTCATGGTCCCGATCAAGACGTGAGCTCTGCTGTGCCTGACTCATTTGTCCCCTCAGTTATTGATAGATACAGACAGCTACTTATGCCAGCTCTCAAGGTCACACTGGCCATCTTGACATCACTTGGATCACAGCACAGGGAGGCTGCTACGAAGGTACGTAAATGCCAGCTCCAGAAACTATGAAAGGAATGGGTACAAGCTTTCGGCTCAACGACGTCTGGGATTGTTTGGGTAAACAAGCGTTATGTACTTATGATTGGTTGCCTTGAATGCCATCGACCAATCATATGACTAACTCTTGTCCACCCAAACCATCCCAGAGCTTGTACTCATTCTTCCTTGAGTTTCTGAAGTGGGAAATAGTACGAAGAGAAAAGCAACTGAGAGATTTATCCTTGTGTTCACTGTCCTAACATCAACACGCTTATCCTTTACAGTTGTCTCGATTTGTCAGTAATACCAGTTGGGATAATTTGTTTTAATATCAGCTGTTTTATGGGCTTCTCGGAGACGGGCTGAAAGGACTAAAAATGACTGATAAAATCACTTAAAATGACCATCCAAGTAGTTTTAAGAAAGTAGACCCAGTCGTGGGTTGCCATTTTATGTTTGGTGTTTGCTTATCGGCCTTTGAGCCAACTGTGTTGTTGCTAATGGTTTTTGCAAAGTTGTCTTGTCCGTTGATATGATGTCCAACGTTTCCGGCCTCACACGGCAGGCAAATTGAGAGAAGACTAATAAGAACGTCTTGTAACGAAAGTGTCTTTATTTAGATTGTGCTTTTTCCTCCACCCCTTCCCCCTTTTATTTTCCACTTATATATCTCCTTGTCACAGGCGCCTGGCTCCCTTGGCGTGGGGGCTCATGGCTGGAGGGCGCGGGTTTGCCAGCCGTGGGGGCGTAACTTTTTTTAGGGACTGGCTTTGCCAAAAGTTGAAGCCCCTGGACATCCCGGGCACCAACTTCCACTTAGCGACGCAGTTGTTAATTGCAGGTTTTGCACTTTGTGGTTGCCCATGTGGACGTTTTTATCAGCATTCTTCAAGACCGACACACCGTACATACATCAGGCTCGTTACACGAAGTAGGGCTTGTTACAGGCATCATGTGCAACATGGGGTTGACCGAGGCGAGTTTAACAGCTGACGAAGAACTGGGGCAAGAACAAATCCAACTCAGGGGACCCCTGGCAAGAATCCAACGGTTAATGATTGGGTTGTTTCCAAGATACTGTTCAAGTGATAGTTGGGAAAAAGTAAGTTGTATTTGGAGCGAAAAAGGAAAATCGTCGTATAAAGTGTCTCTTTCCCCACCTGAATGGAAAAATTTGTGTTTGAAAATTTTGTGTTGTAGGATTTCTTGTCGTTATGAAGTTATTTCACTTAACCAGGTTTTTCCACCTATCCCCTTGACGTTTAGATCTTAGCAACCTTATTTCAATTCATTTTTCGGTCTGTATTGGTATTTTTATTTCCTCTGATATCAACTTCAATACATTTGCATTTCTAAATTCATAGTTGTTCGCTGCTTTGTCTGGTGGCCACAAAACCAACCTTTTTAAAAACGCTTTATTGTTTCACATCCTGCATTACAAAATGCGACTTTGTTTTCCTAAAGAGAGACACACTTTTACCTTAAATGATCCACCCTCACATCAGTCTTGTTCTTTGATTCTGTTGGGATTTCATCGCTTAAATGACAGACTATTTGTGGTTTAAAATTTTTAATCCTTTTTTTTGCAGATTATCAAATCTATGTTGGAGGAAAACAACGAAGAGCCTGGTGCCAAGTACAGTTTGGTAGCCATGGAAACCACCGAAAAACTGCAAAGGATCTGCTCTAATATTGTTGGCTATTGTAAAACCGTGATGTCTTTAACAGGTATACATACTTATTTTTCTATCAATACCTATCTTCCTTTCTCCCCTATTCTTGTTCATTTGCATTAGATGCGACGTTTGAGCTGGGTATAACATCACACACACAGTTACCCTTTTCGAGGGGCAGGTGATAGGGTGGCGGGGTGGGGGGCGGCAATGTTCAACTGATCGCTCGATTGAGTTTGATCAGCCTTAAGGTGGATTTCCAATTTTTTTAATTTTCTCGTGCTTACGCGTGTAAAATTTACGTGGGTTAGTAAAATAGCGCAATGTATGGAAGGTGGCGCGTAAACGTAACAGTTGAACCTCGCTCAACGTTCACTTTAGCGCGGGGACTTCCATACATCGCCTCTGTTTTATCAACGCAGGTAATTGTTGCGCGCGTAAGCACGTAAAAATTACGCGAAAGTGGAAATAAGTCTGAATTAGAAAAAGAAGAGTGTGGCAAGGAGAAGCAAGATGAATAAACCTCTGCCTTTATCGAAAGAAATGAAAAAAATTTGCAAGCCACAGTAGTACAGTAAGCATCGAACTACTACGCAATTTTGAGGGGGGTGGTGGGCGGAGATAATATATTATCGTATGTGACGTCATGAATAGGCAACTCAATAAGATCACGTCAGACTGTTCTTAGAATATGACCAATATGACCAATATGACCTGTTTGGCAGGTTTTTTTGGATCGGTAATGTCACCGATTAGTTGACTACTAATTAGAAATGCTCATTGGTTCATTCATATGGCAAAAATATCCTGGAGATTCTATGCCCTCTATACTACTAGCCATACACAGGTGTTTTCAGTGAACTTATATGGTGCCTCTTGACCGTTTAATAGAACCTGTACGCACTGAATAAAACTTAACAGACTTAAAAGCCAATACTGAAACATAACTTGATGGAGCTTGAGTAAAGGTGACTAGCTGCTCCTTAGAAGGCGTCCGTTTTTAACTAAGAAAAGCCATTTTACGGACGTCGTCAAGTGATCTGTAATTATCGTTGATATTGTTTGGTCCCCCTTAGGTTCTGTTGGCTCTCACTGCCAAGCGCTGTTTTCACCAAGTCTAACCGACTCATTGTCACGCGATGCTCGTCTCACCAGAGACGGTAAGCAAATGAATTAACAACATTAGGGGAATGGGGAGTTTCTTTGTCTTAATCCGTATAGTGCAATCATCAAATAACCTAATTTTTAAAAATAATCGTTTAATCATTCAAGTGACGACAGCGAACAATACACATACAGTTTACAGCTAACCAAGTGGTTTTCGCAACGTCAAGAAACGCATCCAAGCAAAGGGAGTGCTTTGCTAAAGCAGATCGCAAAGTCTTATAATGACTAATAATAATGTAAAAAATTAATAACGCGCAAAATTTCGATGTAACTATTATAATCAAATGCGCGATAGTTTTCCAAATGTCATTTATTTATGCAACTGGGCGATAAGCTATCTTGAAACATATACTTTTAATCAGCTTTGTTGATGATGACTAAGGAAACGGGAAACACGATCGAGACTGGTGAATTACTTCACTATATTAGGGACCTTAAGATCCGAGGACGGCGACGGCAGCGAAAACATTGCTTAAAAAGCGTTCATTCAATCTTCATCGCGACAGTTCCAACTCACTTACTTTGTCAAATGTAGGCGAACTCTCCTGGAGTTGAATTCCTAAAAAACCATATCCGAGTTCAGAATGAGAGAGAAAATTTCATAGTAGCTTGTTTACGTCCTCCATAAAACGTGAAATTGGGCATTTTCTCGTCGTAGTCGTGCAGTGACGGCAAAGAAATGTACAAAAAAGCGTGATGCACGTGCAAAGTTGCTGTTTTGCTAATCTTAACCTATCGTTTTTTTGAAGTTCCCGTTGCCGTCGCCGTCGTCGGATCTTCAGGTCCCTATTGAGAAGGAAGCGACGGTAGTGACATGTGTAGAAGGCTTAACTGCAGAGACCACTAATTATGCGTTATCTAGAATGTAGAATTGTAGAACACTGCTCCTGGCTGATAAAAGTTTTAACTGTGGGTTATGGGAGTTCTTGTTGTCCCTTCTGCTCCTTTATTCACTCTCATGTCTTGTACCCGCTGTAGCTGTTCGTTCCTCCGCCGCTGCGTCGTCCCACCGACCTGTTAGCCTTGGTCTGCCTGTGGCGTTCATGAAGAAATGTAGTGAACAGATCTTTCAGACGGCTGAGTTATACTCTCAGGCGCGCTTGAAGCTACAGAACCTGACAGAACTCACCAGCGATGAACTGAGAGAGGTACAGAGCGGTTATGAATGTTAATAGAGAATTACTGTCTCTGTAGCACTCATTTTCCATGTAATGTCAAGCGTATATTCAATGGATGATGACCGAGATCCAGTGAACCAATGAGAAAGCTGGGAATGCATTATCCAAAGTTGAGAATTTAATAACGTTCGTTTTCTCGCTTTTTTGCTGTCTACAATTCGTCAAGTGGGGATTTCACTGATGTAGGAAACTTCAAAACACGAATTTGCCCACGTATGTCTATGACTGAACGCATGCTTTGATAAATATATTGCTTCACATTCTTGAAAACGTTCGTTAATAGTTTCGTTTACCTTCAGTTCAGTCAATCTCGTTTTAATGGATCAATACAAGAAAGACTCACCACACAACAGAGGCATCAGCTGGCTCAAAAATGTCTCACACAGATCGTGCAGTTCAAGGGACGTGAAATTTCTTCTCAACTATGTATCCTTTGATAATACCCTAGGAACACTCAACAGATCAAATTGGAATTTAGAAATGTGGCTTGGGTTCGGGCGTTCACTCCCCCTAAGAAAAAGGGAGGAAGAGCAGCCTGATCGCTGGTTATAAGAAGTGATGTTTTTTTAGGAGAAGGGCAAATCGCAGGTCCTTGAGAAAAACCACTTGGAGCAAGGGAGGGAACCAACAACAACTCATATACGGCATCGCCTTCGAGACACAAACCCGGGCCAATTTGACGGGTGCAGAGTGCTCTTACCATTACATTGTATCGTGGAGCCTTCCTTTGTCTTAAGACCGTAGATCTGAGACAGAGCAGTAGTAACATCACTGATGCAAGTGGTTCGACTGCAGTATGGGAGACGGAACGTATTTTTAACCTTAACTCTTTTACAACAGACATTATCGAGAACTGTTTATTCATTATATGGCGTCATTTGGATTTTTACTTCTCGCATTGCATCCCATCAGATGAAGAACGGCGCATGCTTGCTGGTCCAACGCTGGCCGGAAGTCGTATGAGAAGATTACAAGGTATTCGCTTTCGAGTTCGGATTCTTGTCAAGTTATCTGCTAACTTAGAAAAGAACATAGACAGCTATTACTCCTTTGCAGCCGTAACCCGTGCGCAGTTACCCCGTTACCACCGCAGCTACCACAGCAAAATGCAAAATTTTGAATCTCTGTCGGTTCTAAACATTTGATCCTTCACCTTCCGTGCCTATTTAAATATTTGGCTACATTGAATTTTTCTCTGCACTGCGTTGATTATGTCTTTCTGTCCACCGTAAGGCTTCCAATCGCGTTTTACCAATTATACTACTTTATGAGAAATTTCTTTAATTTGGTTGGCTTGGAGCAGTGGTATTTCAGCTTAATTTGAAATACCTGCATGTGAAAATTACAAAACGTTTGCGGGTAGTTGTATAAACAAATAATAGCATGATTTGTACGTGATATTCCGCATAAATACCACTCTTGATATTTCAAAATTGTCTCAAATTTCACTCGCCTAACGGCTCGTGAAATTACTTATAACCATTTCGAAATACCACTCGTGGTATTTATGCCAAATATCACTACTAATCATGTTATTACCTATACTAAGTATACTGAAGGGCATCAGAAACGAGACGCAGCGCTAACTCATTTCTGCCATGAGCCTTCGGTATTTGGCGTTTTGTTATGTTGGTGATTCAGTCAAAGTAATAAGTGTTCGTTTGTTTATGTAACTAGACTGGGCGTCACCCTCCAGGAATTCTGCGTTTTCATCTGATCCTAGTCACGAAGCTTCTGCTGGAGTTGGGGGTGGTGTAACGCGAGAGGAAATAGATGCTGTAAGTCAAACTCGTTTGGGAATAGTATAAACATAGGCCATTTAACGTGCATGCACCTGATTGCTTCAGTCTAAATGTTTCCATTTTACCACTGATAATGTAGGCTGCATTGTGGTTTATTGTTTAAAATTATCCAGAAATTAGGTGTCAGTGCACATTAAAATGATGAATAGAGCAAATTTGTGGCGAAAAACGTAACGTTTTTACAGTCCTCTATTTTTCTGTATGATCGTCGAAATCGAGCGTTCGCTTTTTACCATCTCGGTTTCATATATTCCGAAGGACATGCGTCAGGGACTCGTTACTCGAAAGGCACGGAAACTTTTCGGGCCCGAAGGCAGATTATAAACCATCAAAACGTGTCGAGCAGTAGCACAGTTCCTAGCTCACAAACCAGTCAATTTTGCTTCGTTCACTGATAGTTTCATTGTATCATTGTCAATATTATTAAAACTTTGATCTTGAATGTATATACAGCAAACACAAAACAGCTTTCCGGGCCCGAAAGCTACCGGGACTTTGGAGAAACAGGCCCCAGGGCTTATAACGGTAAGGGGAGGGATGCGAGCTCCTCTCAAGACTTAACCCGTCCCCTCAAGCACATTTGTTAATTTTGAAGCCAAGATGGCGGATTTTTACAGTAAGCGCTCGATCTCGATAATTCTGACGGGAAATAGACTATAAACATTCTGCTGCAAATACAAAAGCTGCGCACAAGTGTGTCTCTCACTGGGCGACCTTTCTTGCTGCCAGGAGTGAAGGCAGCGGACTGAACAATTTGACCGTTCACAAGGAACTTTTCAACATTTTCGCTCTGTTCACACGCAACTGACGAATCAGAGCGTTACTGTAGCAAATCAAAGTGGCATCTCGCAGCTGGGGTACCACGCATTTATGCAGCCGTACCTTTGTAGTACAGGAATTTGGACTGTTGTGGTGTTCACACCGTGTCGGTCAAATTTTCCGTACACAGATTTAGACGGTCATGGTGTCCACATTGCGCCGCTCGGTTGGGGCAGGGGGGGGGAGGGGGGCTCTTCCCGCCCCACCTCCAGAGCACCCCGGAAAACTTGCTCGCAGGCTATCTAAAAGGAGTTCTTTTGTTTCTCTTATGTCTACGATTTTTGTTTCATAGGCAAGGTTAATACTCCTGGCTCGCTGCAGTAGTACTAAAAGTATATTGCACTTTCCTTGCAGCTTAAAAGAGAATCCATAAGTACCCTGACAGAGGCGTTTTTAAAAAAGCTCATTGAAATTGAACAGGTACTGAAATATGGCAGGCAGGCGCTTTGTACTGGCTCTATTAAATTCATGTGTGTGGATAAGGATGTGTGTGAGACTTTGGGACTGACCTTAATACCGTAAACTGCCGGTTATAAGCTCCGACCCCACGCATACCATTAATCCCCTCAGTCATAGGCCGATTTGGCTGTAAACAAGAAAAAAAATTCCGATTACAATTGTATCGAAATGAATTCGATTAATTATGAAGCCGTGAAGATTAAAAAACCAGTAAATACAAAACGTATTTTGATCAGCACTGATACAGCTTGCTTCGAAGCGCTTTTTCTATTCTGGTTTCAAGTCCCCTCGGATATAAACCCCTGTCTATAAGCCTTCCTAGAGTGATGCTAGAGGTTTTGCCTTGTTCCGTGCTAACATGCAACGTTGTTCTCATCTGAGCGTATACGAACCTTTCTTGATCCCTTGTTTTTTCTTTACATACTTTCATGGTAGAATGTAACGTTTTTTTTTCCTTTGAATTTTAGACGCACGGAAAGGGACGTACCCGAGTCGGTTTTATCCAAGTTCTTGTTCGGCGCATTAAACGTCTTTTGACACTCCACGGAACGCCTGCGCGTTCAGAGCAAATGGTCAGCGGGTTACGTTGACCAATCACACCCGTTCTAAACTGCAAACAGAAAGTGTTGACTATGCCTTAGACATTTAGCGCTCTACTCCAACAATACCTGGAATAGGCGCTTGCGTAGAAGTAACTGCTGACAAGCTAAGAAGCAGCACCGAGAGAGGCCCCACGATGATCACGGACCTGGGTTGTATTGTTACCGGACCTTAACGTCTTTGTAAATATCCGTAAGGTCGTGAATTGACTCTTGTCACCTTTACGGTCTGTAACCGAACACATACGCCTACAGCAACGCAAAGAAAAGCAACAGCTCTTGCGTGTTCCATTCTGCTTGTCTGTATCCAAAATCTGTAGAGGTTGTCATAATAAAATAAAAATAAACCTTTTTTGTCTACATATCGTTATGGACAGCGCCTGTGGTAGACGTGGTAGTGTGGTAAATGCGATGAGTAGTCACTTATTTCTCTTAGACTTCTTAAAAGTCCGATTTTGTTTACCCTGCAAGCAAAGGCTACATCTTCGCCGGCGGTGTGAGCTGGCGTGCAAAAAGTAGCTACTTCTGGTTGGGTAATGTGTCAGGAGAGAAAACCTGTGACTTAGGCCCATGTATCAACAGCTTGGAAAATATGTATTTTCCTATAACTTTTCAGGTCTTTAAGGATTATTAGTAAGGTCGTCATCAGGAAGGGATTTCTGCGCTAGTTCCTCAGACGTTATTTTGCGAGGAAGCCAGTGGTGGCGTCGCGAAATGTCGCCGGTTGTTTTCGAAAGCTTTTGCGGGGACTGTCTCTGGCCCAAAGAAAAATCCAGTCATTTCCATTTTCATTTTCTGTTGTACGACACCCTTGTTATACCATACCGATTTACGCACTGAAGCACACGTACCAACTCCGCGGTATGACCAGCACCTTGCTATGCGTGCGCACAACCGGTGGTGGCAGCACATGGACAGCTGTTTCGTCCATTTTAGGATTTTCCAGGCCACAAGCGAGAAGTCTTACTTGCGATTATCGACCCCGCCGGTTACAAGCCAGGGGTGAGTTTAATCGCCAGCTTCACCTTTAAGCGCCAACTGCAGTTGAGAACCGCGAAACAGTTTTCCCTCTGCCGGGGTGATATTGTTGTACGCATGCGTAGGGTGCCGGCCTTACCGCGGAGCTTAAGTGCTTAAATTGGTCTTGTTGTACGACCACGCTGTTTTCAATACTCACGACCACAGTATAGCATGACACTATCCCATAACGCAAATATATTTTCATAGAAACTGGCGACGAACTGTCCCATTTCTTGAAACGTTTTATGATGTCAAACGCTTGTCCTGAGTGCAACAACTCGGCTGGTAACTAATGTCAAAGAAAATAATTTTCTCTCTATCGACTTGATGGCTAACGAGGTTTGCCTGAGCATTACTTTATAGTTAATTTTCCTCATTTTATCTAATTCGGTTGAGTTAGGTTATCTCCTCTCTCTTGTTCCCTTTCATTTGCTCTATTTACTGTTGTTCCGAACAGTTAGTCCGGTTATTTAAAAGGAGTTTAGCAAACGTTTAACAAAACTGCGTTCTCGGCTATGTTCATTTTGCTCAATGCTTCTGTTAAAACACCGTCTATCGTGAACAGTTTCGAGTAACAGTTTCATGAAATCATAAAGCGTAGGCTAGAAAAACATTCATCGTCTCCAAATAACCCACTAAGGAAGAAATCTGCATGTCCAAAGATAACGCAAACCCATCCTCTTACGGTGCTGGGTACTACCGACTGATTTTCATCAGGTGACGCGTCAGACCGGACGCGCGCGAAATAGTGGCATTGCCTGGGAACTAAGCTATGTGAAGCCAGTTTCTATGTTTTAAACCTTGGAGGTTTTACGGTCAAAATGCGCAAAGGGTATGATGGGAAGATGACGAGTTGCATTCATACAATACGTTGACGAGCTGTCCATATGTTTCCTAAGCCCTTCCTTAAACTCGTTCCATAGAGAACGATTCCTATAAACTAAAGGTGCTTTTTCTTGGATCTTCTCGATGAACTCAAGCCAATACTTTGCCATCTCACCGGCGCTTGCTTTCCTTGGATACACTCGATGTTTTATGTTAGAAATACCGACAGGAACAAGCATCATCGCTTGTCCTCGGAATGTTAGTTCTACAGCGGACATGATATGCTTGTTGGGTATATACCAACTTTCACCATTATCCAATGTGGGATAGGGTAAAATATGCCCCACAGCTTGGTAATGGTAAGCGTTGAGGCAACCATCAAACCATACTATAGGTATAACTAAGGATTTTTCTACAATACCACATAGCTTCTCTCTCTTTTTGAAGGTCCATATTGCTCCATGACGTTGATAGTTCGCAAAACCAAAAGCCGGCTCGTAATCCAGAAGCCATTCTTCAAAGACCCTAAATGGCTGCAACGTTCTCATTTTTGGGGGAGTGAACGAATTGAAGCCAAGAACTACATCATCATCAATAAAGATGTAGTAATGATAGGCTGTTGCTCTTTTCGAAGCATTAAAGAACAGCAAATTCCGGCCTGAAGCCCAAGTGGTTGTCGGATCAAATATATAAGAGATGTGTGGTGGGTGATTTCTGTCTTCACACTCGGTCTTGTAACTTAGGACGATGACATCACATTTGCAAGTCTCTGGGTCACCAATCTTTGCAGAGGAGGCCAAGTTAGGAGGGAGACATTTCCCGGTTTGAGTGAGATATATGAAAGGCTTTTTAGACGAGGGTATGTTTGTTTGTTGAGCCATATGCTGGGAGGATTGCGAAGGCCTTGTTATGTGCGTAACAGCCGCGTTTAAAGGGTTCTTGTATTTATCTGGCTCGTTTTGGTTCACGCGAAACAGTGATGCACTGAGTATAACTAAAAACACGCATGCAGTTGTTAGAAGAATAAAGCATCGTCTCAATCCAATACCAGTACTCTGAGAACTGTAAAAGAATAAAAGAGTTGAAGAGTTAAGTAAAGAATTTCTCATGGGACACATTACATCCTGGATTATGACAGAGATTTAGACATGAGGTAGTTACTTTCTATTCCAACGGGGATCCGGAAGTTCTGACCAGAAAAAAGAGTATTATCTTTGCACGGTGAAAACCATTAACTTGTATATGTTGTTGTCTTACCATTGATATGTTTTTTGGCGTAAAAATTAATTAAAATGGCCTCTGTACGATGAGCATTATCGAGCATTTCGGTGACTTTTTCGGGGGAGACCGAGTATTTTAGTAGAAAAAAATGTAGCATTGAGGTGGAGCAATTTAGAGGGGAAACAAAAGCATAATTTACAAATGCGGTACAAAAACCTACCAGTGGATAGTGTTATCCAAGGATTAACAACTGAGGCCTGATGGTCTGTGTAATTTAGCGGGAATTCGGAAAGTATGGAAACGCAAAATGGTCCGCGTTCATTCGCGGACGCAAGATTGACACAATTTCAGTTCCAAAGTGGTCTAGAACAGGACGCCATTGAACGGTTGTAGGCAAGGTGTGTGGTCGCACGCCAGATCTCAACGCAAAAATGTAGCCTCTGCTCGCAGGGCAGAAAAAAGGCTAAAACGTTAAGAATAAAGTTAATGGCAATTTTCCTGTTAAAACTGAGAGAGGGTAAGGTCGATTTTAAAATCATCAAAACAGGAAGAATTTGCAACTTACATGTATTGTATTAAAAAGCGCAATGTTACCAAGAGAACACCAAAAAATTTTAAAAACATATTTATATAATAAGGAAAGTTACCACGGGGATGTATTTTAATTAAACTTCTGTTTCACGCCGACTTCATAACAGAAGAAAATATTATGTACCTGGTAATTATATAAGTTCAATAGACTTACTAGGTCAGACTTTACTACAAAAGTAGTAAAGCCGCGGGATTATAAGTTTATGGAAAGTAAAATACTACTGAAGTTTTTAGAAAATTAGAAAAACTAAACCGACTTTGCGATAAAAATATATTGTTGCGAGTCGCCACAAGAGACAAGCAAATTCTGTTAAATCTTAAAACAGCCATCTCTCTTTGAAACTGTATTAAATGAAGGATGATCATCGCATTGTACTGGAATGTAGCTATCTATTCTATTCTGTTCACTGAAAATGGCTGATGATGCTTATTGATGCTAATTGTTGAGATCGAATTGAATTTTAACCCTTTTCTAGTTATGTTTTTTACACAGGGGCTTTCCTTTTCAGCATTAAAACCTATTTACCATGCATCTAAAATTTACTTCAAGATTATAATAATTCATGCTTTTCTAACATTAATTATTAGTTTGCCTTTATATACAATACCAGATAGGCCCATTGTCTAATTGAGGTCAGCATTAGACACATTTTAATATTTTGTTCAATAAACTTCATTCATTTTGGGCACAATTATCTTCAATAAAGTAGTTTCCAATGTAATATGCCATGGCCTATATAATGGCCAAATTCAAAGACAAAAGTTATTTTGAAATTGGTTCAATCCCGAGCAGGAATCGATCTGCTTAATATCAAGTTATTTTCACGATAAATTAATTTCTTGTAAATGTTTAAAGTAAAAATGATGATAATCGACTTTTTACGAGGTTAGGCGAATGAACCGGGTTTCTCGCAGACTGCCAAGTAACAATCTTGAATATTTCTAATTCCTGATGTCTCTCAAAATACAACATATGGTCCTATGACATTGCGTGCTTTAGTAAAACAAGATGAAAAGAGCATTAAACCAAGGACGGACGACAAAACATGGTTTTCCACTTGTCTTGCTCTCAGTAATTACTGCTTCAGTGTGCATTCATTACCAGAAATTGTAGAGATAAAAACATAGCAATAATCTCATTTTACCCATTTCTGTTGCCTGACTTAGGAAACTTACAGAGGTGAAATAAAACGATTTTGCTGTCGATTGATGCCGCTACTCGACAGTTCGCACTAATACTGTTGTGATCTTAATGTGACCACAGTTGTCGGGACTTAAAAAATATAAAAAAAACATATAAAAAGGAAAAATCATATTTACCTACAGAGAGCGGGCGGGCGAGCGGGCTGTAAGGTTGAGCATACAAGACTAACAGGGGATACCATGATAAAACAAACAAAACCAGCCTGCGCTTTTCTTAATGACCTGAACCAGACAGGGGCTCCCCAATTATCTTGATGATGTGTTCATATGCTCACATGTGTCTCGCACGTAGGACCGCCCTTGCCTAGTCCCTAGGCCTCATTATTGCGCGCGACCGATTCGCTTCGGGTCCCGTGTTCCCAGCCGTTCGTCACTGATAGTCACCGAAATGTATGACCGAGAAGGCCTGGGAAGAAGCCCCACGGGGACTAGGCAGACGACTAGGTGAGCACTGCCCCTTATAACACGGTCAAACGGGGACACCCTTTCCTTTTCCGTAGCGAATGCAGAAAAGTGGCCTGGGGAACGTGGGTACAATGACACACTTCTTGCATCGAAGTGCGGATTTAACTTGGTCGATCTCCCTCCTTCTTGTCCTTATCATTGGTTATATTAGTCTGTGTGGGTAGGTTTTCTGAAAACTGTTATCTTCGTTTTACCTCCTCTTGGTGGATGCAGGCTGGAACATTTTCTCTCCAAAATTGAAATTCAGCGAGGTCATTAATAAAGAACAACTTGTGAACTGACTAAGCTCGGTAAATGGACATGAAATATTTGATCAGATTTGATAATGCCATGAGCATGGAACAAGACAAAAAACTTGAGTTCCTGACAAGATTCAAATCTATGAGTATTGAACTTCCAACAAATTTTTGAATGAATGGTTTAGAAATTAGGAAACTTCTTAAAAAGTTTAAATTTAGAATAAGCCGTTATTATATTTATTTATTTCCCCATTCAAATTTTTTTCGCGAAAGGAAAAAATGAAAAACCATCTAGACTGGTTTAGGTTTTCTAACTTGCCCACTTAGCAAACAAATTGTTGTACAAGATATTACTGGCACAGATTGCAAAATATAGCACATTTTATACAAATTCTGAACGCGCGCTTAAAACCTGCCAGGAGCCCTGACGCCTGTCACTGCTTATATTGAGTAGTTTACAAATTGTGGCATATTTGCACAACTAATGCTGACCACCCTTGGAGCAGAGTCTCCAGGATCGCGTCAAGCCTTTGAAGTCGCTGCATCCCGAACTTCTGGACGCGGTAGTCAACCTTGTTTTCTCTCATCAAACTGTTTTTTCCAGTGCTAGCATCGTTTATTGTTAAAACAGCTAAGTCGAGCCATAACTGAGCTTAACTGACCACACTACATCAAGCGCACGGCTATAAGGCCTTGGTTGGAAATTATATCCTATCAACATGATACCGCGCATGCTCAACAAAGATCTTACGCGATTCACGCAGCAGAATCTTTCTCGAGTCAGCCTGCGTTGCAGCCGGCCCTCTATCCTCTAAACAGAAAGTTTAGAGTGTCTGCGACGCAGGCTATAAATCGAGAAAGGCTCTGCTGGCAGGGTGGTGACTGACTGCTGTGACTGGTCATTGAAAAATAAACTGGACAGGCGATCTGATAGTCCGCGAGCAAGCTCTCCTATTTGGGCGTGCCTCTCGCGCGTCTACTTTTCACGATATCCCCCAAATGGAGAGCTTGCTCGCCGGCTACCCCCGGGAGCCCCAGGAGAGCTTTCTCGCCAACCCCACATTCCCCACTCCCGCTGGAACTAACAATGTGTCCTTAATGTTGACACCTGGGAGAACATTATATGAAGTAGTTTTTGGACCCTTAGTAGCCGTGCCTTCACTGCAGCGTCGTTCGTTTCTGCTCGGAAGCCTTTGATCGTTAACGTGTTTTGGTGTTGTGTCCTGGCTCCTGTCTCTTGGTTGAAGTGATTTTTGTTTAGATTACTATAGCACACCAAAGGAACACAACATGGAAGCGTAAGAATAAGTGCTTCGCATGTCCATGGCGGGAAATGGCGCGAGGGCAACTACACTGAAACCCAAACACAGTGACAATCACTGTTTCTTATTACGTACCAGAATCTTGAACTGAAGGCTGTTAAAAGATAGATATGGAGTTTTTTGGGTCCTTCAACTGCGAAAAATACTGATGATTGTCATTTGTTGACAAGGATTAAGTTTACATCTGTGCATGGTCAAGAGTTGCTTCTCTTTGGTTGGTCAAATCGGCGGCTTAATTTGTTCTCTGCGTTGCTATCTCGATACTGCTACCTCAAAGTGTGTATATATAGTCATGGTAACTTTGAAATGAGCTTCTGGCAAAGCAGTACTCAAGCAGACTTGTCTGTTACAGGCACCTCCTCCTCAAGACACCAAAGACCACCCAGTGGTCGTCGTGGTCGACCAAGCAGTGCTACAAGGGGAGGAAGTACAAAGTCTCATATTTTTGGTATATCTGATACTCCTAGACAGGAAGAACCCAAACAAAATGCTAGAAGTAGTTTCCAAGGCAACACAAGTTCTGTGCACACTACCCCTGAGGCTCCGCGCCCTTCCAGTGCACATGCGCCAAACAACACAGGTGGCCATAGACCTGTAAATAATGTAAGGATGTTACCTTAATCCTTTATTTTTTAAAAGCAGTCCCTCGACCCATACACAAAATGCTCCTGAAAAGGTATAAAGAAGATATCGCACAAATTTCATCAGGGAGCACTAACCATAATCATTTTTTGGTGATTTAAGGATTACATTGTCCGTCAAATACATCACTCTACATGAGCAAGGAAAACCAGTAATTTAACATATGAAAGATTATTACACTAAGTGGTTGTGAAAAGAAGGCCTTCAGGTATTTTGTGAAATCACAGAGTGACCAGCTCTCAGTTACCTTGATAACAGGTGGTAAGTGGTTTGGATCCATTTAAGGTGGCTCGACTGGATTTTTTTGGGGGGATACCTCCCACGTTTGAGCATTAACTACGTCGGCATGAGTAAAGATATGGCAAAAAGGTTACCACAACTGTATTATATAATGATGAAAATTTCTTATGATCTGGGTTTTATTGCAATCGGAGTCGCCATGGCAACGTAATGACGCCATTACGCTTTTTATTTATCTTTGTGTTTCTCTGTACCAGGAGTTTTTTGAAGAAATCGCTTAAGGGAGTATGTACCTGCCATAATTGCCTCCATTATGGCAAAGTTTCAACAAATTCTATGAGAGCGTTTTCGAATTATTTTGACACGCAGTTTTAACAATCATAAAAACAGTGAAATAGCACGCTATCCACACAATTCGCTAATATTTTAAGAAACTGATAAGCTTTGGAAACGTGGCTTCATCCCATAGTGGTTTGATTCCATTGAAAACTGCATACAAAAAAAGAGGGGAATTGCTTTGACCGATCGCGAGTAAGACGAATTTTATTGACTTACATTCAGCTGCTTTTGTTATAGTTTTTGGACGTAATTTGGTCCATGTCTACAAATTTTGAATTTTTCAAAAAACCGCTCGATAAATTTTTTTATAAATTCGACAATCTGGAGATCAATTGTCAATGAATATTCCCTGCAAGTTTTAAGAACATTGAAAACGGGGAAGGCTTTTAAATAGGGCCTCAAATATAACCAATTTTTCCCCCCGATTTTGTGTTTACAAGTGAGCGTCCTCATTATTCACTGGCATTGTTTTCAAGTTTCATATGCACGTGCACAACTAGCAAAAGATATAAATTTGCATCAAAAAGAACTCTCGATTACTTTCCGAAGAAATATTCCGAATATGCTAATAATTGGCTTGTGTCACCGACAGCAGTGAGAGCCGAAACGATGGACGTCACCGCTCATCGTGTAGGATGCAATACTTAATTATCTTACTCGGGTTATAACATCACAGAAACTCTTACAAAGAATTGCTCTGATGTTATAATGTATCACTAATCTCTTTACCCGGTAATTAGCATATTCCGGAGATATAACCGAGGGTCCTTTTTGATGCAAATTCTATCTTTTTGCTAAATGTGCACGTGTATATGAAACTTGAAAACAATGCCAGTGAATAATGAGGACGCTCACTTGTAAAGACAAAATCTGGGGGAAAAATTGGTTATATTTGAGGCCCTATTTAAAAGCCTTCCCTGTTTTCAATGTTCTTGAAACTTGCAGGGAATATTTATTGATAATTGATCTCCAGATTTTCGAATTTATAAAAAAATTTATTGAGTGGTTTTTTGAAAAATGCGAAATTTGTAGGCATGGACCAAATTACGTCCAAAAACTATAACAAAAGCAGCTGAATGCAGGTCAATAAAATTCTTCTTACTCGCGATCGCTCGGAGCAATTTCCCTCTTTTTTTGTATGCAGTTTTCAATGGAATCAAACCACTACGGAATGAAGCCGCGTTTCCAAAGCCTACCAGTTTCTTAAAATATTAGCGAATTGTATGAATAGCATGCTATTTCACTGTTTTTATGATTGTTCAAACTGCGTGTCAAAATATTTCGAGAACGCTCTCATAGAATTTGTTGAAACTTTGCCATAATGGAGGCAATCATGGCAGGTACAAACTCCCTTAAGCAATTTCTTCAAAAAACTCCTGGTACAGAGAAACACAAAGATAAATAAAAAGCGTAATGGCGTCATTACGTTGCCATGGCGACTCCGATTGCAATAAAACCCAGATCATAAGAAATTTTCATCATTATATAATACAGTTGTGGTAACCTTTTTCCCATATCTTTACTCATGCTGACGTAGTTAATGCTCAAATGTGGGCGGTATCCCCCCCAAAAAATCCAGTCGAGCCACCTTAAGCCTGCATTTTGTAGGCTTTGCTATCATAACTGCATAAGTTACAAAGTTTTATGAATTTGGGTCAAACATTTCTCCAAGTATCTTGTGCATGAAAACCTGTACAGACCTGAATCTTGGGGAGGCTTCTTTCATTTCTAAGATTCTGGACTTTGTCTGTTGAATGGATTTGATTTTTAATTTTGATTCACAGTGGAAACGAGTGATATATTGTTGAATCTTATGCAACGTATAATTAGCTGTTTGCTTTATAACTAGGCCTCTGTCATCACAAGGGCTCAGCTTGATGCTGCTAAAAAGTTGGCCAAGGTTTGTTGTAGTGGAATTTCATCATCTGGGGAAATGGTTTGCGAATCTGGAAGTTTAAAACTAGGAGAAGAAACTTTATTGTTTGGATGGAGAAAGAGAATTAGTTTCACTTTGCATGTTTGAATAATCGGGGAATTTGAGAAATCACTGGTTTAAAAACCAGGCCTTCTCTACAACTATGTGTTATTAGATGTATATAACGTTGCAAAACTAAGAGATAAGGGGTTGAATTATTGACCTCCCCTGTAACAAGAATAAGCTCATTTGTTTGAGGGTTGGCTTTTAGCTTTAGATATAGTTTTCACAATAACTATGCAATTTCTCGAGCGCTGATTGGTCGAGAGCTACAGTGTATATTAGAGTACAGACCATTGTTTTTCTCTCTCTTAGGTGCAATTTTTGTCAAGAAACTGTCGAGAATAGAAATGGACATTAAAAACTGATAATATTATTGTAAAGAACAAATTGCCATTGTTCCACACTCTCATAGACCATAGATATGATGTCAAAATTGTTCAAAACTTTGCAATCAAGTCACTCACATGTAGGTTGTGTTTCCACTTTAGTTTTGAGCATGTGACATCATTTCTTTGGACTATTTAACAATTAGTTCATGCGTCAGCGTGCGTATGTCGAGATATTGAGCACGCGGGAAGTTTGGAGAGCACGAAAGAGGCGTAAGAGTTGCACGAGGCGCAGCCGAGTGCAACTCTAGCCTCTTGAGTATAACATCATCAAAGCGATCAATGCATCAGTTAACTTATAATTTTATTATTGTAGGGTGCGCTCAAAGCAGTACGCGTCAATGTTTACGTGACTATATATTTTTTTCCTCACAGTTAATCTTATGTTTTTATCCTGAAACTGAGAGAAAGTGTACTCTAAAATGATTATAAAATCCATATTTAGGTGCTGGAAAACTATTAATTTACCGAAAAATTGTTATTGAGAGAAAACAAGTTTGCAAAGAATGAACTCACGCCATAGCCCGCACAGCTCGCGGAGATGACAACAACAACAACAACAACACTCACCTCTTTTCCTTACTATCGGTTAACAAATTCAAACGTTTCCTCTTAAATTTCCTTATAAAACACATCGTAAACGCTTCCTTGTCTATTGCTGAGTTATGGATGCACTCAGGAGACTCAGGATTGCTAAGCTCACAACCACTCGAGGAATTACGAATAGTTTATTGACGTCATCAGCGTGCTCAATAGGAATATGAAGCACGCTCGCGCTATTGAATTTGATTAGGCGAATTTTCTAGCTATGTTATAATAGAGTGTCGACCATGGAAAATGATTTCTTCCTTTTTTAAATTTATATGCATTTTTTTCCAGTCAAATCCAAATTATGCTGATCAGCCAGTCGAAGTGCAGGTGTTTTCAAGGAGTCAAATGGGAGGAAGGAAGGCCCCTCAAGGGTTGGTGTCTCTACATTATATAATATGTTATTTTCTCTAAATAAAGACATGGTAATAAAACAGTTTTCCTATATTGTTATATGTTTGCCTATACTGTTATATTATCTATACCTTAAGGGAATTTTAGATTTAGAACATTTTAACCAAATTGATGTGTTACGGTCGACACCACTAGAGTTGGGATCCAATTTAGTGCTGCCTGTAGGTGGACGGTAGGTCCCACCACCAAGTCTATGTCCCTCACCCTTTTAGAAGTTAGAGCAGTGTGAGTTCATTGAGGATGAAGTAGCTTAGTATCACCCCTACTGCCCCTACCTGATGCAATCATCTGAACGGGAACAAGGTCCTTTAAAAAACACTGCCAAGTGTCAGCTCAATCTTATATATATTCCTCCATCAATTTTTATGAAGACCTGAACTTCAGTTGTGGGACAAGTGTTGCATAGCCTGATTCTAATAGTTTTTTTAGAAGAACTTGGTTGGTGGCCTGGCTGGGGCCCAGACTTTTGATTTTCCACAAGGTAGATTGGTGCTCATCCAACAGAGTTTGAGAGTCAGTGGTATTGACTTGAGAGTTATCCTATTTAGCAAACCCTTGTGAACTCATCTGTTTGTTGCATTTACCCTTAATTTTTTTTAGTGTTTATAGTAACTAATTCTGTTTGTGCTTGTACAACACTTTAGAGTTCCACAACTCAACCTGGGTAATCTTGCAGATGACAATAACCAGGTATTTAACCAACATAAATTTACTTTAAATTTTTAATCTTGCAAGTAGTCTAGTAGTGTAGTGTACCAAATTGTCTCCTTTGACTAAAAACTTTCTTTCTTTGTTGTTGGATTATGACTTGACCTACACCATTATCAGCAAGTTACACAATGATAAACATTTTTACTATAAAACAAAGCCAGTTGCAACCTTTTCTTTCTTCATCAGACATACAGTAACTGCATACTTAGAGCTAACACAGGGTCTGCTTTGTGTACCAAGTTTAAGCTCAGTTTAATGTTTTCATAATGTTTGAGTGTGTAGCTCATGGAGTGCTTTTATGTTCCAATTAAATAAAACCTCATTGGCAAAACTTTTGCACAGTACTATTTATTTTTTTTAGTATTTTACAAAATATATCAGAATTTTGAGGAAATTCTAAATTTGTCCACTATGATTCTCACATGTCCTAGTTGATGCAACCATTGACAGCCGAAGGCCCTCACCTTCACACCCCTGACTCAAACAGCAGTATCATCAGGTATGTACAGCTACTGTAAGAATTATTTTTAGGGACTTCAAAGTCTGACAATGCAACAGCAACGAGAACATGAAAAACAATTACACAAACAATAGTAGTCAAAACAGCAATTTTGCACATGGCCCAGGGGACAGGGATGTTGAATTGGGGCAAAAATCAAAACCCAAAAAATTCCTTGGACTTCAAACAAAACCCCCAAAATATCCCTGGACCAAAATTTAACCCCCCAAAAAATCCCATGTTGAATTTCTGAGCCATATAAATTTCCAGAAAGCATTGAATGATATGACACCAAAAATAGAAAAATTAGTTTCAACTACCCCCAAAAAATTAAATCAAGCTCCCCAAAAAATTACTTGCCGAAATCCCGAAATTGAAAATTTCAAACCCCAAAAAATCCTGCGATCATCCCTGTCACTAGAAATCTGGAGAATCCCCCCTGGGCACATACGTCACACTTTTTTGTCCATTTGCACGATTGTGTATGAGATGAAATTGCCTAACTTTTAAGTTTTAAGGAGGACATACAGTAAACAAGTGACAATCAGATTTTCTTTCTCTTAATTGTGAACTTGGATATGGCTCCTAGGAATTCTATTCCAGGGGGGTTTGCTTACATATGACTTAGTATGTGGGTAGGGATATTCCCAATAAATACTGAAAGAATGCAGATTCACTTTCAAGCGACATTTTTGCTGCGTTTGCGTCCTTGCATTTTAGAGTCCCTGTTTTGGTCTTGAGAGGATAGACTTGCCTCCTGAGATTGTCTCATGAAATATTGAGATGTGAAGAAAACAAAAATAACGGGTTTTGCATGGGACCAGTTATTGTGACAAAGCACTCAACAACAAGTTTATTTCAAATTAAATATAGCTTACAAAGCTTGTCCCCGCAATTAGCGAAGGCTATTCGAGGCGGGTACAAGAGAAAAAGGAAAATTGTATAAATATATATATATATATATGTTAAACGAACAATCCTAGAAGCAATCTAGTTTGTCTTACTCGCTGAGGTTATAGACTTTGCATATGCTCAGAACTTTTTGTATCACGTCATGAAAAGTGACAAGCAAAGTGAGAGTGTGTCTTAAAGTCTGAATTCTTCTTCTTACAGATATATTAATTAAAAACTTGTTTTAATTTGTAGCTGGGGAACTCCGCTTCACAGCTCTAGATTCCATCCTAGTCCTGTAAAACCAAAAGGAGGTGGTTGGCAAGTAAGTACCAGCAATAATAATACTGCATTAATAATATTAATAACATAAAGCGAACAGTATCTAACTTGCCAAGGTTCAGCTGAGTGGTTAGGGTTAGGGTAATAATCAGATAATCAGTGAGTGTGGGCTAAACCCAGACCAATAATAAGTTCCTTTTTTTCTTTACATGACAATTTCATTCCCAAAGAAGTCACCACAAAGTTTCAAACCCCAAGAGATCCTCTGATCTTCCGAACTGTCACTATTATGGCAGATTGTTTCCCGCCTCTTCACCCCACTCAACTCTCTGGTTGCTAGAACCTAGTTTACTTTCAACTATACAAATGTAGCCGGTCAATTTTTTTCTTTTACCAAATCTAACACTATTTTGGCAAGGGGTTGGGTTATTCATTTTTCTTAAAGCCCATTTGTAATGGTAACAGGACTAAGTGGAGTCCAATTCAGTCTATGATCATACGAGTGATTAACAAAATTGGATGACCACGTAGTGGGAGTGCGATTTGTTTAATCACATGTATGATTACAGACTGAATTGGATGACACGAAGTTTTGTTACCAATTAATCATGACGTTAACAAAATTTGTGATATATGAGGCTCTTTTTTTAATCAAAGCACAAGAAATTCCGAGATTTTTTTTGCTAGCAGTGAAAAAAAAAGCCATTTAAGCATGCGCGTGATCAGGCGCAAACTGTCCAGTTACTTAGGCATGACGCGTACTGTCCTATTTAACTGTCCTATTAATGCTGAAATCAGGGCAGTTGATAGCCAATCAGATTTAAGAATTTTGTTTAGAAACTAATAATACTTTTAGAAATACTGTAGGGCCGGGGTGGGGGAGAGTAATTTTGAATATTCCTTCCCTGACTGCTGATGTTATGTTTTAGGTACAACAGGGCCGTGCAGCTCAGTCTCATAAAAAGCCAGATGGTATGCCTGATCTTGATCTAGAAAGGTCTCAAGAAGATGGTGACCTTAAAAAGGTATGGTATTGCTTTAAACACAAAAACTAGATTTTCAGTCACCAAATTTGCCATTTATTTCTTCACAAAATTTTTTTATAAGCTGATCTGGAAATTTCATTACACTGATGTACACCTCAAGTGATATAGTGCTAGCCTTACAGACCTGTTTAATTTATTTTTAGAAGAAATTTATTAACAGCAAATTAATAATACAAGATGAAAATTTCATCTTGTATTTACTCTTTTATCCGTCTGTTTACTTTATTGGATTGTTACAAACATTACATGCCCCAGCGGGTTAGAGATAGGCACAGACTAAGGCTACTTTCAGGCAACTGGATTGTCTTCTACCTGGAAAGCAACAGGAATGCATAGTACCACATCCCCGTCCTTCCTTTCTTTCTTTCCCCTTCAATGGAGGATCTGATAATCTTACTGATAAGGTCAGGGCTTATTTTTAACAAGGTTTACGATTGTTTTTGTTATTTTAGGCTCTTCATGCAAGGAAAAAAGATGTCAACAATGTAAATGATGGTGTTGAATTTGAAGAGTACTCACGCGAGGTTAATAATGGCATTTATAACATAGAATTTCAAGAGGCATTTTTGAATGATTATTTTTCACTGGAAGTACATGATACAGATAGTTCTGATCTTTCAGTTCAAATAATATGTTCCTCAAAAATAACGTCAACCAGGATGATGTGTGCTTGTTTAAAAATACATTTTAATGCTCAACTATCTCATTATTTTTTGTTCCAAAAACTGTATACCCACCCTCTTGGTAGACTTACTGCTTGAACCTGATTTCCTTATGTTTAGGCTCATTATTTATTAAATAAAAATGTGAGCGCTTTTTGTCTGCAAGTACATGTATATACAGAGTGCCCAAGTAGCTGCCAGAGCTGGCACAGTACCGGTACTTTACATGCCAGCTGTATTTTGCTTTCATTTGCTTTCTTTTCTTTTTGTGGATTGCTCTCATCTTGATTGTGGCAGATCTTTGCCAATCTTTTCTCCCATCCTTTCCTAAGAGCTTGTTCTTTTGAATCTGTTAGTGTGAGGGTGATGCCTGGGGTGTGCCGTGTCAGAGTTTATTGCTATACATACCTCTGTAGACTTGTTTGACTCCTTACCCACCACCAGTCAGCAGCTAGTTTAACTCCTTAAGTCTGGATTTAATTTATACACTTATAGTATTCATGTATTGTATCGGGGGGTGAGGGCTGGGGCCCAGGGAGCCAAAAATTGTTTAGAAATGAGAAGATTGAATCCCATCCCCTCTGAGTAAAGTTATTCTTAAGGACATGTCTAATTCCTGAACCATAACATTGATTGCCATCAATGTTTTGATAATTATAACTATTTTCATACCTTTTTATTTAGTTCATATGTATGTTTTAACGTTGTGTGTGGTTTTAATAGGTAGATGAAAGTGATCCTTCTTACAATGCAAACAAGTAGGTGTTTATGTTGTATGACAGACAAAAATGGGGCTCTACAGACTATGAGACCTCAGCCATGATTAATATTATAATGTCTTTTAAACAATTGTCATAATAAATACATGATTGAATAATCGTTTGTTTCAGTGTAGAAAATCAGTACAATAGACCTTGGAGTACACAGCCAACAACTCAGAGAGAACAAGCTCAGTTAAAAAGAAGGCAAGAAGAGGTACTCATACTGCTTCCAAATGCTATAACTATTCTTTTATCAACAAAGTTGACTTTGTTTCTGGTTGTAAAAAATAGGAAGTTTTACATTCTGAGAAGAAGAAGGATCTGATTGTGGAAACAATTCTTGTGGATCAGCTTTCCAGGTGTAGTGAAAACTTTCCCATATTGTGTGGCTTTTTTATTATTACTATTTATGAATCATTAAAAAATTCTTCAATAATTCATACTGAGAATTATTCAAAGGAAATGAATGTCTAATGAGTGTCTTGATATCTAAAGTAGATACAGCTAAAATTTCCTTGTACAGCTAACTCAATTGTATTTGTTTTTCTGTATTTTACAAAGTGAAATTTTCAGAGCTATGCTGAATTTTAGGTTTGCAAGTGATGAACATGGTTTACATGGGCCTTGAAAAGTCCTTGAAAAAGCATCATGTCCTTGAAAAGTCCTGGAAAATTGAAAAATTGTGGGATGGCTTGAAAAGTCCTTGAATTTTCCACAGAAGTCCTTGAATATTTTTGAAAGCTCCTCCTTCGTGAAAAAAAAAAACATGTTTTGCGCAGAGGAATGATTGAAAAGAACAGCAATACACAATTTTTTTTTGGTTATCATGAGAGTGTTTTCTTATGATTTTGGTGTTCCTGGCATAGTTCATTTTCCGTTATTTGAAGTACCCTAGGAACCGTGCCTAAGTGAAGGAAGGTATTGTAATGAGCGAACCCCCCTCCACCTACACATTTTAAAGGTCTTTACTTCATGTTATTTTGGAGAAGAAATCCTTGAAAAAATGATATTAGGTAGGCCTTGAAAAGTCCTTAAAAGTCCTTGATTTTTCCCAAAAAATCATGTAAGAACCATGGATGAATAATGTTCATCACTCCCAAAAGTGGCCAAACTAAAAATAATATTATTTTAGTTGCCTTTTTATTAATTCAATATTTTACATGTTTAGGGCAGCAGTTTCTGATCCACAAAAAAACATCAACTCAATTCCTGCTGATATAGGTCCCAAAGAGAGAAAGAAAATGGAATTTTATAACACAAGGTAATAAAAAACTAATGTGAGTTGTTAGTTACTGCAATCAAATGATATGATATATATTCTTGTCCTACTATCCAGTCATTTTCAGCCTTTTTACTTCAGCCAATGCCTTTGACACATACTGGTACTTTGTTGCTACTCTCATTGGCAGCGTCATTACTGCAGCGTTGGTGACAGTGGTAGTGGTAATAGTGGTAAAAGCATTAGAGGAACTATTGATAACAATGGTGCTTTTGATGGCAGAGAGAGGAAGTGACCTTAGCAATTCTAGTGTCACTGGTGTTGTTCTACCTCATCATGACATTGCTAATGACAACAGCCGTGGTAATGGAAGTGGAGGTAGCGGTGACAGTGTATTGATACTGGTATTGGCAATGTCATGACCACTGTCAATGCTAGTGACACTAGCATGATTTCTATAGTCACTTTCTGTCTCAGCCATCAACAGCACCACTGCTGCTACCACCAACAATGTCAAAACCAACACCAATGCTGTGACCCTACCGTTGGTACATAACTGTCACTTCCTCTCTCTCTCTTGGTGACCATGACCATCCACATGAACTGCTTCATCTGTCACTACCATCAACAGCACCACTGTTACTACCGCATCACTCCCACATCATTACCACCTTGCTGCCACTATTTGCACCAATGTTGCTTCCAATACAGCTTATTCACATGACGTCACGGCGGCCACATTATTTTGGTGTTCCAAAACAATGAAACGGTGGCCATGTTGATGTACCGAGACAGCCCTGTGGGAATTTTATGTAAAAACTTTCGTTTGTTTGTATAAATTAGCATAGATGCTGGCTACGTGAGTGAATACACTCTATAGTACCATGTTTACTTAGTCTTAAATATGACTTTTTGTACTGATCTACAGGAGCCCTGCTAAAGGTTCAAATACTGAAAATGCTCTTGCCAAGAGGGTGCGTTTTGGTGCAAGAATTGTAACTAAAAATGGCCGTGATGCTCATAGGGAACTAAATGGATTCTTCTTTCCAGTTGACAACACAATAACACTTTATGAATTTCATCAGTTTGGAACCAGGTTTGTATATAATAATGGTAGGCATTTTATAATGCATTTGTTATTGCTATTAACCCAAATAGCTTTTTGCACTGGTGCTAACTGGAAGTTACTTGCTCTTTTATTCAACCATTACCAAATACCTCCAGTGAATCACCTGTTAACATCTGTTGTTAAACCCTACCTTTTCTACTCCTAGATCACAAGCTTTGCCATTTATTCAGCGCGGCTGCTATAGCCATGTTCAGGGAAGGAGAAAGCGGCAACCATATACCCTGATGGATATCTTTGTGGTGAGCATACAGTCATGTACATGTCATACATGTATGTAAATAAAAAAATGATACATAAATAGCAATTTAGAGGTAGCACATCCACATAGAGGTTCTTAGTCTACAATCCCTGGTCAAATGTTGGTTTTGAGGAGAGGGGAAAACCAGAGTACCTGGTGAAAACCCTTTTGGAGCAAGGGAGAGAACCAATTACAAGCTCAACACGCTATGGCATCTTGATGCCAGGATTTGAACCTAGGCCACATTGGTTGGAGGTACACATGAGTACTCTGACCACTACTCCACCCTTGTTCCCTGAGAGTTGTTATTGTTAAGTGCAATAAAACTTCTGGTAATCAGTTTTTTAAGAATCATTTTGCCTTTAGTAAATCTTTTACGTACCTTTAATTCTTTAAAAAATAGAGTTTTTTGTCAACAATGTTGCTAATTCATGGTGGGGTATTATTAAAATAATGATAGGTTCACAAGCATTTTTGACTTTCCTTTTTTATTCTCAGGGCAGTAATTTGTCATTTGCAACAGCCTCACAATCATCACTTCCACAGAGTGTGAGTGCCCGCCCTGTTGTTGTGTTCAGGGTTTCTGAAGTTGATGATCAAGCTAGGCAAGCACATCTGTAAGTAATTATCGTAATCCTAAGCGCCTAATGGTGAGCAATGTAAAAACATCACAGAAAATTACAAAAATTTCATTTTGAAAATTCAAAGAAATTAAATAGCACCATGCAAAAGTTGTACTAAAATGTACACTCATTTGAATGACAACACAATAACAACAACAAATAACAACAACAACAATCTTTAATGAATTTCATGCAACAAGTTACAGTTGTCTTGTCTACACAATTAGCAAAAATACTGGTCTAGGCGAGACAATAATAGTTTGCAATTATATTTACAATAAATGGTTATAAGAAATAACACACAAACACAATTGAAATCAAACCTAGTGCAAAACATGTGAAAACTTTCTTCAGATAGAAAAACCCTGGTTAATGTATCAAACCAGACAATCTCCTACTCTTCTTTGAAATTCGTGCTTTGGCATAGGACTGCAAAGCTTGGAAGTGCAGGACCATTTCACTTTAGATCCCCTATGTGCTCCTCAGCTGAGCAAAGATAATTTAGTTTCTCTTTTGTTATAATTTTAGATTTGAGAGCTGTCAAACCCTTGATGACAAACGTTCAATAATGGAAAGATTAGATAACCCACTCTCTGATGCAGAATTGCAAGAGCAAGAAGTATTGGACAACGTACAAAGTATGTGTAATGTAGCTAGACATAACTGCTGGAGATAAGTATTACTAACCTTACATAACTATTAACATTACTGTTTGTTTCAGATGAGAAGTGGCCTAACAGATGGTTCACCATCTGATAATTTGAAAAGATTCCTACCTACACTGTAGAGTAAAGTAATCAGTTTTAGTTCAACAACTTATACACCTATTCATGTATTAATTTTTTTCATCCTTGATAAAATTTTTAGGACTAAAACTGTGAAAACACAGAGCTAAAAATGAACTCGCTTATTTTTTCCTTCAGGTATGGTCAAGAGGCAGCTTCACAAGAGGGCAGTGAAAACAATGATGGGTCTTGGTCAACACTTTAGAAAGATCGACCAGTCTGGAGATGGTCTGTTAGATCAGCATGAACTGCAAAGCGCTCTGCAGTCCTATCATATTACAATCCCTGATGAGGTATGTACAATAGTTACATTCCTTCCCAGTTATTTCCCTGTCAAAAGTATAACAGCACTATCAAAAATGTTCATAGAGCTTAGTGGCAACTAATTGAGTGGGTACTAAATAAATTATATAGCTGATTATTTGGAGGACTGTGAGCAAAAGAAGTCAGATTTGTTTAATAATCATGAGTATGATTATAGACAGAATTGGATGACAAGTTTTGTTAGCAATAAAACTATAATAACGGAAACAAAATTTGAGATAAAACAACAGCAAGACACTGTCAAGATATCTCAAGAGTATTTTTATAGACATCATAATATAGACATCATAAATGTAGACATGAGAATCTAAAAAGAACCTTGGCACCTATTACAGCAGTTATATGTATGATGACACCTACCGTCCAATTACTTCTGTATGATAGGTACTGTATAATTATCAGAGTGAGTCCCATTGTTAATGCTAACAGGGCTGCTGATATCCAATCAGATTGGAGTTTATAGTTATGATTAATAATAATATTATTAATATGTTGAAATGTTGTCATCTTCCTATCATTAAAATCCTCAAGTACAGTGGTGCTCTCTTTCTAACTTTTACACATGCCTTTTCATTTTTAGACTTTTAATCAGTTGTGGGATATTTTGGATGTAAATGGTGATGGTTTTTTAGACTATGGCGAATTCTCAAGGGGATTTATTGGTGAAATGAATGAATTAAGGAAATCATTGGTTAGAAAAGTAAGTTTATATGGAGAGAAAGTAAATGTCCACACTGGTATCTTTTGGCTTTTCATGCAACAGGAAGATTGCCTAACAAGAAAGGATGTCTGCATGGGAGGCTATCATTTTACGTTTGCTTTTATATGGGAAAAAGCTGCTGATTCCATTAATATTAGTCTCCTATGCAGCCACTTTAAACAGCGTACATAGAAAGTAGTGTCCGATAGCCCGGAGCTAGTGGATTTTGCTATCGGGCTAGTGAATTCTGTTTTTAACTTGCCCGACGGGCAAGTGATGTTTTATGAGAAATTCGAATAACAGAAGAACTGTAAAATCAGTTCTGCTCTTTAAAAAGCTTTTGGGGCTAGTTGAAATGACATCTGGGCTAGTAAATGTTAGCTTCAGCTTGCCCGAATGTCAAGCTGTAAAAATGATTTCCTTTGCACCCTGTTAAGGGTCATCATGCAATGCTCCGCCCTAGGAGTGTTGCACGACAACCCTGAAAACAGCTGCATAGGAGACTAATGCTGTACTTAAGAGTTACCGGTAAGTTAAACTTCTCCGTATGGACACCTTTCACCCTTAATAAGTCTCAAGAGTGATCAACATCGGTTTTCTCCTAACAGTAACGATAACAGTATTTATTTAATACATAATCAGGAGAAAAGGTCATGAGATATAAAGAAATGGTCATCAAAGGGAACATGATCTGATCCATTAACAAATTCTCCATACTAATTTTTGAAGGAAATGTAAGGAGATCAGTCTGGAGAATTTTGGTGTGGATATTGAGGCTTAAAGCTTAATGTACAAACGGATACAACTACAACTCCCAACATTGTTGGCCTACATGGCTGAAAGTTTGACTGGTCTCAAACTTTGCCCAGCAACTCCCAACAAAACGCAACAACCTGCAACAACATGTAACAGGGTGTGCAAACAGACGCAACTAGTAATATCCACCAATGGTGGGAGTTGTCAACCAACAATGTTGCATCCATTTGCATGGGGTGTAAAGGGTTTAAGTTGAGCCTCTTTGGAACAAAGCAAAATCTCCATCACAGGATTGTCACTAAGATGTCAAGTTGCCTGGTAAATACACAAAAGGCTGGGAATCAAACAGCTAGGGGTTTCTTTTGGTTGTATTTTTTCTCATATTTTCCTTTGAAAGTAGCCACGGGCCACGTTCATAGTAGCCGGGGACCTGCCATCATATCTTAATACAGTTCCAGCTCTGTGATATGGACACCTGGATGCAATGCAGGTGTTAAGCTCTGTCAATAATGGTATCCATATTGTTAAAAAAGGATTTTATTGAAGTTCCTAACAGGTTGTGAATTGATTGTTATAATTTTTTCAAAAACAGGTGTTCCGTAAACTTGATCCAAATAAGAATGGCATCATCAGTTTAAATAACATGAGAAAATTCTACTGCACTAAGAAGCATCCTAAAGTAGTTTCAGGTAAGAAACTTGTGAAACTGCTTCTTTAGCCTACAGTCATATACTCCCTGAAAAAAATTCCTGTTGTTATTTATATGTTTTATTTTTCAATGTATCTTTTTCATTGGCTTTACTTGTTAGAGGATAAACTTACATGTCTACAATTTGTACATTAATTTTTTGCAAACACAGTGTGGAGTTAAATTGATAATAATGATGATGATGATGATGATGATAATGAACAAGATTAAACAAGCAATAATGGAAAGAAATCAATAATGAATGTACATAGTGAGTTAAAAGAAACTTTTTGTTTATACAGCGTTTTATTGTGCTGATTTCTGTTCTTCAGGAGAAGTGAAAGAGTCTGAAATTGAGGAATCCTTTCTAAGGTCTTTTGAACTCTGTGAGAACAAGGGACAAGTGACTTATGCAGTAAGATGTCATTGTATATTATTTTTCCTTGATCGTAGAATGAAGAGGGGGTTGTGTTCAAAGAGGGGGTCCCTCTACCCATAGGCTGTTCAATCAATTGACGTTAATGCCACTAAATAACAGCTCATGATCAGTTACCTTGAATCCTTTGAATCCAACTTCGAAATTTAGCCCCCATTCTAGCCATAAAGCCCCATTTTAGAGATCGAACACTATTAACCCCTTCCCCCAGCTTCCCTGCCACCAGCCTCCTCAAGACTATATTGATCAGAATTAATAATACATGCTATTAAAATTATTCATGCACTCTGATCAAAATACAGTGCAATTTGTCTGTCCATATCACTCAAATCTCTCTGTCAGACAGCAATTAATTCATCCAAAATAGAATGAGAGTACACCATAACTCGACCCTGATTCATGCTATTTATTTACTGCTTCCCCCCTGCCTCTCTACACCCCTACCCCCTCTTCATCAAAGCCATTTATTATGCCAGGAAAATTTAGTCCACCATGGGGCTAAAAAGAGGTTTTAAAGTGTATATAAATTAGGTAATATCTTTTTTGTTACCTTAAACAGGAATTTGAAGATTATTATGAAGGAGTAAGTCTTGGCTTTGCTAGTGATCAGGAATTCACAGCCATGATGAGAAACTGTTGGGGAGTGTAGTAGGCATAATGGCAATAGTCATAAATACAGACCCATGTAATATAATTTTACAGTGTTTGCAATAGACCCTGCTGTAACCCATAACCAGGGTTGTTATCAAGTTGCCAGGTAAATATAACAAGTAGGCGGGAATCAAACAGCTGGGGATTTCTTTTGGTTCTATGTTTCTTCTATTTCCCAATGAGACTAGCCAGGGACCACATTCATAGTAGCCAGGGAAAATTCCCGGCCCCCGCCTCTTAATGACAGCCTTGCATAACACCGATCAAGGGTGTCAATGCATATAGTTAGTGTTGGGACTGAAGAGCACTTTTATTCTCCAAAAATTAATATGAAAGAAAGTTTTTCAGCTCAAATGATTGGGTGTTTGAAGCTGCTTTTTCACTGTACATTTTGAGTTTTCCTGTCAGTCTATGTTGTCTATGAGTGAGAAAATTGCCACTAGAAAATTCACTAAAAAACAAGGCAGTCAAGGGTGGTATTAAAAACCAAGACAATAGCTGCTGGAATTTCTGCTAAGAACACCACAACAATAATAATGAATGGAAACAAGTTTGAGTCAAACTGACATAAGTTTAGTACAGTTACCTATCAGGGTTATCTTTAATTGATTTTCCATGCATACTGTGGTTGATCAGAACTATCCAAACTTTAAAGATTTTGCCTGTTGCCAGCTTAATCATTAACAAAGGAAAAAAGTCATATGATGATATTATTGAGCTCGTCTGAGCTGCCAATTAAAACCAGGGCAGTGAAAACGTTACTTTCATCACTTAACCCATTCGCCCCTGAACCGCCCGTAACCGCCCGTGTGGATCCAGGTCCTTTCTACCCTTTGTGACGTCATCAGTTTTAACGGTCAAGGACCACTTTCTTTGCTAACTTGTGCAGAGTGAAGAGATCTTTCAAACCATACCAGAATGAGCACAATTCAGTCAAGGACACCGGAGAAAGAAGCAAAAAACCACGTGACAAGGACCTGAAAATCTCCATGAAAATCTTGTTCCATTACCCACCAACCTTTCCTTTCACCTAATCCTAAGATCCTAAAAGCTTTCCTAAAAACTCTTCCCACCAAAATGAAGCCTACTAAATGCCCAGCAAGAAAAAAAAAATGAGGCAAGAAAAGCGAAAAAAAGAAGGAGGAGAGAAAGCGAAAAGTAAAAGTCAAGACTGCTGTGTCACTTTTAAACCCAAAAACTGTCGAAATTTTGCTTTCTGCGCATGTCCGAACTTCGCAAGCTGATATTTTGCATCTGGATCAGAAGGCCGCCAAGTGTACGACCTGTAAACCGGTTTGTGGTAAGTTTTATATAGCTCTTTATAGCACGACAGTGACCAGAAAACCACTCGACTAGCTTCAAAACGCGTTTTTCGGCAAAATCTCCAGGAGCGAATGGGTTAAAGTTAATGTAGAAAGTCATCTCTCAGGCTGTGGTATCACTGGAAGTTGTCTGACCCAAAGCTTTTATCAGAGAAAAATATTTTAAGCTGGCTTGTTGGAGCTTTAAGCCAGTAAGGTGAGGTATAAAACAACAGACCATAGTTTTCCTTTTTGGAAAAGACATGCCTGACAAGGTAACTGTTTTAGTTGGTCAAAGAAGAATAGTTATGTTGACTAAAATTTCAAATGTGTTTGTGGGTTTTACTGAAATTTCTTTTTTTTTTCTCACGCCTTTAACCGGTAATAACAGATTTCTTGAATTGCATTGTCCTGAAGGTCCTAAATTTATGTATACTACTACATGAGAAAAGCAATTTTATTGGCTTAGAGCAGTGGTATTTCAGCTAATTTTGAAATACCTACATGTGAAAATTACAAAGCTTTTGCGGGTAGTAGTATAAGCAAATAATAGCATGACTTGTTTGTGATATTTACCACGTAAATACCACTCGTGACATTTCAAAATTTTCTCAAATTACGTATAACAATTTCAAAATATCACTCATGGTATTTATGCCAAGCATCACTATAAATCATGCCATTACCTATAGTAATACTGTTTTGTACTACATTAAGCAGTACAATAATATTACATTGTAACGTTATTATTTAGTACTGTTTTGTGAGAGCTTGTTACAGAGCTGTGTGTATAATAATTATTTTGTCACAAAACGTTTTGGACAATTCACGTTTTTAGACTTGAAACAATATTCTACTTGAAAGATCAACTTCCCTTTTTACTTCACCTGACAAGACAAAAGAGTGGTGTGAAGATTTTCAGTGGTCAATTAAGTGGCACTGAAAATTTTCCATTTTAAACAATTTCATACGAGGTGAGTGATGATATTATTACATTCAAGAAATACACTTTACATTAAAGCTATTAGAAACTCTGAACACCCTATTGGGCTCATGCAGGTTTCAACCAACTTTTTTTTTTGGGGGGGGAGGGATGGAGGGGGTGGATAGATATATTTGACAGAATTATTGAATCACCTCATCTGTCTAAACACTTTGCTCTAGATTGGACAGAGACAAAAGTTTAATTTCTTTGTATGTTTGAGATGTTTTAAGTTAAATCACTCACAAGTATTCAATGTGGATATTTTTATTCTATATTTCCCCATACATGTATACAACAAGCAGAATTGTAATAAATATTTATTATACTGGATGCTAAACTCTTTGGTATGCGTTTTTGTTTCATATTTTATACATCTTGGTGTATTACATCGTAGTCTATGTTACAAGGGTCTTAATTTCCACATTTCTCCGATATTATGGGTCCTAAACAGGTTAACAGCTATATGGCACAAAAACAACTCACTGGGATCTAAATGAATCAGTAGGGCAAGAAAAACAAAGAGATTAAATCAACTAAAATGCCACGGTTTTCCTCCTTTTCACTGCAACATTTCTGTCCCAGCAGGGTGTTTTTGTACAATGTGACCTTTAACTTGCAAATTTAGTGCTCATTGCACCCATGGTAACATGGAAATTTTAAGCATGAATAACAAAAGGCTTCAATCTTGTTTCCCCAGGCTGCAATCTTCTTGGTAAGCACTAAAAATTGTCTGTTCCATTTTATTCTGGTGGGAATGGGTAACATAGACTGTCGGGAAAATGTTTTGAGTCCACCTATTACCTAAAGGCTGTGTTGTAATTTACATTAACTAAGAATCATGACTCAACCATGCTATTGACTTAATAAATACCTTCAAGTTTCTAAATAAATAATAACGATTTTTTTTATGCTGAATGTTGGCTAGCTGGAGATTGTTTTGTTCTTTAAATTGATTAACCTCCCATTACATTGTTAAGCCAAACATACATAAATATCTTGAAATACTATGATATTCTGAAATGAAATAGATCATAATAATATGCATAAAATGTTGGGCTAATACGGCATGATATATTCATTCTATGTACACCATTCATACTCAGGGATAAAATACTTTACAAAGCTGTTTGTCTTTTCTAGTGATATTAAAAGTCTGGAGAGCACAAAAATCTTTAAAATGCATTTTATATATGTTCAAAAGTGCAGGACTGGTTTTAAGGTATAATGGAAAGCGCTGTTACTTTTCAAACCAATGTTCTTTTGAGTTGTACTATTAAACATGATAATTGTGATATCCCTTCTCCAAGTAAACACTGTTTGAGAGCAATTTCATGTATTGCCTTAACAAAAATCCTGTAAAATGCTGGATACAGAGAAGCTGCACTGGAGTGATTTCAGAATGAAAGTCGAGCCACTAAAGATATTGAATTCTGGAATTTCTGTACATCCTTCCCACTAAATTATTCAAATCCAACAGTGATAAGTTGTTGCCCAAATTTTTATCAGGAGGTGGGTCATATAACCAAAAGTTGCAAAGGGACTAAAGGAACTACAGTGGAAGCTCTAGTAAGCAGGCACCTCTAGGGATAAGAAAACGTGTCTGTAACTTGAGCTGGTTGCTTACGAGAATGGTGCTGGTATGCGGCCACTAGAGGTATAAGGGTTAGATGGCCAATTATGGAAGCTTTCCAAGCTACAACTGGGAATGCAAAAAAAAGTATTAAATTTTTTTTGTTAGTGTTTGGCTATACTGTTGTTCTGACAACACTGTAATTCAAGGACAAGACTCAAATTTAAAATGTAACCAGACATGTATGTGAGAAAAACAAACTCTGAAACTGATATAAATTCATTGTGACAGTCATATTAAAAATAATACAACATTCACAGGCAAATGAGATTTAATTTCAGGTGTCACCTTATAAGAGTGACATCTATCTTGTACAACGTTAACCCTGAAAGTGTCCTTGGCTGCCTCAGGAATGTGAAAATACAGAGTTTGTATGGGAGTTGAAACGGGGCTTTCTGATGGCGGCTGTAAAATAATTAATGGAGCTTTCCACTTACAAGTGTCCGTTAAGAGAGCTTCCACTCTTGTAATAATAGTTATTTTAAAACACCTATTATATAATGGGGTGTAACTTTTTAAAGCTGTGGGCCAGTTTCATGTGAAGTCAATTTGTATTCTATTTTGATCAGTGTTTAGACCTTTTAACACGTGTCATGTGACTTGTCTAATAACGTCATTGTTCCAAAAATTATTTTTCGTTTTTTGAAATGGAACCAACAACCACATTGACAATTTTTTACGAATATTTTAGTCTGTCAAGACAATAATCATTGTATTTATGAGGAGGGAAAAGGAAAACAAAAGTAAGCTTTTTAAGGGTGAACACTTTCCAAATTAAAGGCTCTCGATCTTAAGTATATTTCTAAAAATAAATACGTAAGCTGAACTCAAGAAGAAAGATTATTTTTCAAATAATCTTTTTTCTTGAGGAAAAGAAAAGAAATTATCAAAGTCTTAAATTTAAATGCGCAAAGCCCACTTATAAATTAAATAACTATAAAAATCTAACTAGAATGGGATATATAGTAGGAGAGTTGAAGTTTCCCTCCTTCCACATGGTACTATGCTCTTCTGAACTGTCAATTTTACACGTTGCTCCCGGTCCCAAGTTAGAGTGATTGCGTTGTGATCTGTTTTAACCGCAAGGACAAAATACGTTGAATGGAGAGACTTTTTAAAGAACAGGTACCACAATCCAGTGGATATCGATTGCGGGACCATGGCTGCCCCTAACTCATTAAATATTCTTTTGACGACACTAAACGCAATAATCTATTTCAGTTTCACTCACGCTCAAACGTTCACCTCCGGATCATCTGATCTGGTGCTGTTCCTGCCCGCAGAACTCCGTACAATGAGCGATTTTCCTTTGTGTTCTATCAGTAGTCTAGGCAGCTCTCCGTTGGAACGTTTTTCGAAGCAGAATCTCACGAAGGAGCCGCTTAGTTTCGCAGCTGGTTTTGTCAGTACGACTTGCCAATATTTGATGCATTTCGCTCGGCTTATGGCCACAAAACTAGGCGGCATACCGACAGGAAGGATTGATCCATCGATCCATGAATTTATTTTTTCTATGCCATTCTCCTTATCGTACTGCAAGGGATCCAGCTCTAAGAGATCGCCCACAATGTTTTCCAAATCAACATCAATATCATCGCTTTGATATCGAGAATAGCGCGGACCACACACGGCGGAATCGTAGGTGCAACAAGGACAGGTAGTGCTACAAGGGCAGTATAACCAACTGCACATTTGGCCCATGGTTTTTAAATTTTCGTTGCCTTTATATCATGTTTTCAGCTCTCACTTCTCTTAGCTGGCACCTGTGCCCTCACGGAATGCATAGAATTTGGTGCGATACACTATGTGAACTCGTACATGAAACATAAATAGAAATTTGCGTCTTCAACGCGGGCTCAACTAATTATGTTAGTCACAAAATACTCGGGGTCGGGAGTGGGGAGAAGTGTGTTAAAATAGCCATTCTGTGAAAATGCTCTCAAAAAGAGGGACAATGTGAATTTTGGTTTTACAGATTTGCCTGTTTTTGGAATATTGTTTGGTTTTCACATCTAAATTCAACAGTTATTCAGATTTTGTCTTTTTTGGTTTGCAAGTATCTTGTATTAGTATTTGGTTTTTTGTTTTCACCAAAAAAACGATGCAGTTATTCTGATTTTGGTA